CACATTCCCCATGGTTCCAAAACAGACCAAATGTTCTAGAAAAATATCATCGAAAAAAAGAACTCAGTTTATTATTTGTTTTATATTCCATTCAAGTACCAAGAAGGACAAAGAGAAAAGATATTAAAGCGTAAACCAGGTTACCTAACAAACTTGTCCCTTTGACCAAGCAGGTACCAGGTCTTTACCCAATCTTACATCTTGGGAGCTGTATACATCACATGCAAGTTAGTAAGAAATAGATTTCGATTAACTCATGACCCAAAATTGTGGATTCTATCCTCCTTTCTTATCCCAATTTCACATCCAAACTTTAAAGTGGTTGATACTATCATGTCTAGTGCCGGCGCAAAGCATATAACCAACAACTTCACTATAAAGCCAAGCACACATTACTTGAGAAAATTTGAGCAGAAAACAAAGCTATTCAGCAAACATATCTACATGACATAAATAACTAACTGCAGGTTTTATCTAAACACAATCCGCCCTAGATAAGTTTGACTCCTATGATCGTGTTTTTGGGATTCCTTACCAAAATGTGCTCGCACTACCATTTCTTCAAAATACCACAGCGAATCGTAGCACTACCAGTCATGCATATTCTCTTTCTAATTTCGACTTCAGTACATGTTTAGAGCAAAATTTTAGTATCAAGGATTCTCCTGTTGGAATAATTAACACCGAAAGGCTTGTAATTGCATATTCCTAACTAAGTCTTTGAAAATAATTACGTGGACAATGAACGAAGGTGAAAGAACCAAAATCAAAACTTGTGCAAGGAGGAACAAATACCCGGGAATTGGTGCATATTAGTCGTGGAAGCTACTAAAATATCCCTGCTCCTTCACCACATTGGTATTTCTCCGTCTGTTATCAATCAAGTCATGAAAAATTGTGAATGACTTCTTATCATCCCTGCAAGATCAATAGCTCAGGGGTAGGTATCTCAGCAAGCAGGCAACCACAATGACACAATACAGTAGGTGAAATATGAATATGAATTCATGATTACTTACAAAAAAAAGTAGGGAAAGACAACATTAAAGGGGAAGCTCATGGCTGGTGTGTTTTCGTAGCTCTACTTGACAGATTGTCATATGTTCCCCAAGACACCCTTAATGCATTACCTTGTTTTCGGCAGGTGAACCCTTTTCACTAAAACTAATAGAACAGCGTATGAATGAATGAATGAATTACCAATTCAATTATGATAGATAGAGATACAAAGGTCTCAGCCTTAATTGTTTTGCAGGTGAAGGACAAAACACCACCTGGAACTCATCGACTCTCGCTACAACTCCAATTCCCTATCATGCTGACTTTTGGGTCATAAGGGGGAAGAAAATTTCATGAAATGAAATATAGCACCGACGGATTTGGGGGATGAATGGAACTGCAAAAAAGAAAAACAGACTTATATAAGAGAAATAAATCACCTGAAATCAAATACAGTTTCCAGGTCTGAATCTTCTCTGGTTCCTCTCCAGACCTCTCAAATATGCTCCTTGAGGCTTCCAACTCCGCCTGTGTCCAAAGAAACCCACCAGCGGAAAAACTCCAACAACAGCAAAACACTGTATCACATACGTCCAGTACCCTTATTTTGTTGGCCTTCCCCCAAATTGATGAACGAATTTCTAACAGTGAACTCGCTGCTACCTCCTTCAAATCAGTCAAACAAATGCTTTGGGGAAGAGAGAGAAAAAAAAAACAGCGAATCGATTAGAGATGGAGAGACGAACGATCATCTAACCACACAATCCTAAAAATCTGGGACATAATCCACCTAGGAGATCTAAAAGCCGTCATTTGATTGCTCCGAGCTTCGATGGTTCCAAAAAAAAAAAAAGATTAGGGAAATACGTGTGTGAAGAAAAGGGAACATGGACATGAGATCTTAAAGAAATAGATTGGAAATTAAAGTGAAAAGGAGAGATCTCACCCTTTACCTCTTGTGCAGTCGTCATATAGACGCTTGCTGTTCTCATTTCTGCTTCGCACTACGGTTATGTAATCCCAGATCTGCTTCCTTGGAAGGCGCATATAAGATTGCTTACAACTCACAATCTTCAACCGAAGCGGAGAGGGAAACCGCCGGCTGAAATCCCAGCCACGTCAGCACACCGAAAATCACTCTAAAGGAAGGATTTTTTGAATGGTGGTGGCAGTTATACGTTTCCACTATAATTTATACTGTTGACTAGATGGCGATGCCGCGCCTTGTCGCGGGATAGAGATGGCTTATGTGCATGTATATATATATGCTCGTTATGGGGTTTTGTTAGTATTATTAGTCTAAAATTATTTTTATATTAGTCTTTTTGTTAGTAATATTGACTTCACAATATGATACTCACCGAGACGAGATATATGCCGGTCAACATCCAATTTATTTATTTTATTTTTTTTGAAATTTTTGGCTAATAAATGATATTTACCTAGACACAAGTAGACTCATTGATTATGGAAAGGGAATGGGTGACGTATATATGGGTGTGGAATTTTGTAGATGAGTTTGGATAGAGTATGGATATTTACTTCCATAATCTAAATGTGTATGAGTTGGGTATGAATACCCATTTATTCAAGGGTGTTTTAATCACACATACAAAAACTAGACTTATTTGTAGGACTTCAAAAGTTTAGGTACCAAAATGTAATACACAAAAATTTTAGGTACTAAAATATAATGTTCCATCAATATTTTGAGGACTTATTTGCCAAAAAATTAATTTAGATTATAAATCTAAAGATTTATTAAGTTTAGGTACCAAATTGTAATTTGCATAGTTAAGGATTAATTCCTTTTATGATGATGTATTTACTATTTAAGATGATAAATATTTACTTTTTTATAGAAAAATGAAAACTATTTATTTGAAATGTGTAGATACCTAGCCAAACATTTCATGTATAATTGTTGAAAATTCTTGTCCGGGTGAAAAAGAAGAACTCTAAAGAGAAGTAAAATGAATACAAACTAGAACTCGCTTAAAATTTCATGCCTTCAAATCCCATAGTAGAAAATGACGAATAAGTAATAAGTAATAACCATATATCTTTATTTTTAATTGGACTCGACATTGAGCTGAAAAAGTTAGTGGTTCATGGTTCAATTATAAATTCTCAAGACTATTGGTGAGTCATGTATGGACCTGTTCATATGTGTGATTAGAATACATAAAAATAGTATACTAATTAGTGTTAGACGAAGAAGGCAAAGAAATAAATAAAGAAGGTGTTATGGAAGGCGAGTGAAAAATGAAACGAAGAGGAAGTAAATGATTGAAAGGTTTGGTTATTTTTATACTTATATTAACTTTTAGGGCTAATACCACTAGGAAACCCCAACTATTAACTTTGTGCCATTTGTGTCCTAAAGTATTCTACATGACAATTGTATCCCAAAGTATTTTTCTGTTATGGTTGACTACCGTTGACGTTAGTTTTGAATTGTTTGACAGCTCATGGCTGATGTGTCCGTCTAGGTGGCTTTTTTTATTTACAAACCCATCCATCCCTTGTTTACACTGAAATAATAATAAAAAAAGAAACATCTAATGAAATCGTGGTTTCACCCGAACCGGATTCACATTTACCCTTCCCTCGACTTCCCCCCAAAAAACTCAAGAACCCTAACCCTTCTTGGCGATCTCCTGATTCTCCTCCCCGACGAACAGCGGGGCGTCGATTCGTCAGCTCCGCAGTCTGTCAACATCAGGGACATCGGGCGCGGCGAAGGGATGAACATTTTCGAGAGGGCACCTTCTACACCTTCGGGCACGGCGGGCAGGGAGGAACCTTTTCGAACGGCAACTTCGACACCCATCCTCGATTTCTTCTGCAATCATCGTCAGCGACCTGCGCGAGTGCTTGTATCATCGTCTTGGGAGAAGTATATGATGCCTCTACTAGCAGAGGTCTCGGGTGGTATGGAAATCTGTTTCGCTCAAAATTTCTAGGGTTTTGGTGCGAAGGGGCATGTCTATTTTTCTGGAGTTGTGGAGCTATTTAAAGGTCAATTTGGTAGTTGGGAAGCAGAGTGAAGGTGGTAATCTTACAAGAAAGTAAATGTGGTAGCTGCGATTGCGAAGTGGCTTTGCTCTATAAGATTCGCTGGAAGTGGAAGGGGAAAGCAGGGACCACGACGAAGCTGTGAAGACGAAATTACCCCCTTGGTGAGTTGAGAAACATGTATGAATTTAATTCCAACAACACGTTCTGGTCATTTCCATTTATGTAGTGAATTGGTTGTCTTGGAGTTGTAATATTCAATTCAGAAAGGTCACGGGTTTGTGGATTGCTAGATTGCAAAGTTGTCTTTTAGCAAATTTCGGTGAATGCTTTTAATGGTAGAAAATTATTCACCCTAGACTGCGATTAGATTAATATAAAGTAGGATTTGTAATAGTAACCATGTTATGTAACATGCAGGATGACTACGTACTTGGAATTCATAGTCCACCATGGTGGGAAGATGGACTATTTTGAGGAGGTTCCTCGCTATCTAAATGGGAAGATTGAAGAAGTTGACATGGACCTAGACTACATCTCCTACTTCCAAATACAACAGCTTGGGGTCGTCCACTTTGAATATGCTAGGGTCGAGCGCTTGTGGTATATGGCTCTATCGGATAATTTGGGAAATGGTCTGGTTGAAATAAGGTCCGACGCTGAGGTTATGGATGAACTAATTCATGGTGTAGAAAATGGGAAAATCGTGATCTTTATGGAAGGTATAGAGACTCAAGTTAGAGATAATGAAGATGCTGGTGGAGACTTCAGTGACGATGGTGATACAGAATCGAGACATCATCCACCTTATGTATGATGATGTGCGCACTTCTGATGATGAGTTCGTCGATGCTATGGAGAATCAAGGGATTAGGGCACGACAGATGAGGGTTTGTACCACTAAAGATCAAACTGGTGAAGCTGTGGAGGAGGAATCTGTGACTAATTATGAGCAGGCCGAACATGATCTTCCCTCACAAGCTATGGGAGGTGAAGATGAAGAGGCTGAAGATATCCCACATGTACAAACAGAACAAGTAGGAAACCAAACTCTACCCGAAGCTGAAGATATCCCATATGAAAGGACAAAACAAGTGGGAAACCAAACTCTACCTGAATCAGAATATAGAGCTTCGGTTGAGTCACGACATGTTCGTGGGAATCTAGACGAAGAGCCAGCTGATCCTATTTATGATGGTCCCCACTACGACCCCAGATGTGAACATTCAACCCTAAAGTTCATGGTGGGAATGAGCTTCAATTCCCCGGAGCAGTTCAAAGAGGCAGTGGAGGAACACTCCATAGCAATTGGAGGCGATATCAAGTGGACGAGAAGTGACAAGAATAAGAAGCGAGCTGAATGTCGCCAGAAGTGTGGGTGGTATATTTATGGTAGTTGGCATGCTCGTTCTTTGTTTATGGTGAAGAATCTGGGGAAGGATCACACTTGTCCTAGGGCTGTCCGGATGCGGGTTGCAAATGCAACTTGGGTGGCTAAGAAGTACATTGAACGTTTTCGAAGGGAGCCTTATTGGAAGGTAAAGTATATGATGTTGGAGCTGAGGCAAACGCATAATGTGGTCATTTCGAGGAGACAATACTATAGGGCGAGGACATATGCCAAGCGGATGTTAGGAGGGTCGTTGATAGAGGAGTATAACAAGATTAGAAGGTATGTTGGCGCTTTGAAAGAGCGGGATAGAGATGGTACCTTTATTCTCGAGGTTGACCCGTCTAATGTGCCCAATCGAGTATTGTTCAAGAGGTTGTACATTGGTTTTAGTGGGCTGCGAAGGGGTTTCATTAGGGGTTGTCGACCAATGTTTGCTTTGGATGGGTGCTTTCTTAAAGGTGAGGTTAAAGGGATGCTTTTGAGTGCTGTTGGTAAAGATAGGATGTTCCCTATTGCTTGGGCTGTAGTGGAAGGGGAAAGTAGTAAAACATGGAATTGGTTTGTTTCTATTTTACAGCAAGATCTTAGGACCATTGTTGTCGTGGGTGGACAGTCATATCTGACCAGCATAAGGTAACTGTTAGACTTATTTTGTATGAATGTTACTTATGTTTTAGTGTTTGTAGTGGGTGGAATGTCAGATTGCATGAGACTTGACTACATTATGTTCTTGTTTGTAGGGACTTGTGCAAGCACTAAACAGTTGCTTACCTGAGGCATCGCTAAGAAAGTGTGCACGTCATGTTTTCGCGAACTGGAAGGTTAACCATAGGGTGAAGGCACATAGAGACTTGTACTGGGAGGCAGTGTATGCAACAAACATACACGACTACAAAGCAGTCATCAAAGTCATGGGGGAGATTCAACAAAGTGGGGCAGATCCATCTCTACTTCAAGATTTTTTGGATCATCAACCAGAAACCTTTTGCAGGGCTTTTATGAGTCACGACTCCAGATGTGATTCAGTGGAAAGTAATATTTGCAAGACATTCAATGGTTATATCTTAGAGGAGAGGAAGGACAGGATCATTGACATGCTTGAGGGTATCCGTAGGAAGCTCATGGTGAGAATTGTTGAAAAGAATGTGCAAGCTGGTGGTTGGAGGGATCGCCTCTGTCCTAGGATAGAGAAGAGGATTAGAAAAGGTGTGGATTTGGCCAAGATGTGTCAAGTGAGTCCAAGCTTGGACATGAAGTTTGAAGTTGCTATTAATCGTAAGAGGTACATGTTGGACTTGGACGAAAAGACATGCAGCTGTGGTTCATGGGGATTGACTGGAATTCCATGTGTACATGCAATTGCTTGCCTACAATGGAAGAGGATAGAGCCAAGTGATGTTGTTTCTCCTTATTACACTGTTGGGTCACACAAGATGGCATACGAATTTGGTATTCCTACCATTGAAGGCCAGCAAGCTTGGCCAGAAGCTTCGGGCTATCCAGTTCATCCTCCTAAATTCAAGGTCTTACCTGGACGTCCAAAGAAGCAACGGAGGAAAACACCAGGGGGGATCGAGACAGTTCGACATGGCGGTGATGGATCTGCTATAAGGAAGAGAAGGTCTGTAATGCATTGTAAGAAGTGCAATGCTCCTGACCACAATGTGCAAACTTGTCCAGTTCTTCGGGTAGAACGGGTAAGTTTGGAATCTGTGCATATTGTAACCATCATTTTATATCAAATAGTAACCATCGTATGGATAAATGTGCAGAATTTGGAAGGAGGATAAGGAAGCAGGAACGTTGAAGCTCCAAGGGGTGCTACTGGTGGAGGAGGAGGGAGGAATGATCAAAGGAGGCAAGAGAGGGATGGAGGAGCTGTTGCTGGTGGAGGGAGGGAGGTTCGAAGGAGGAAGGAGAGGGATGGAGGAGCTGCTGCAAATGAGGAAGGTCAATCCTCAACAGTGAAAAGAAGACCAGGGTTATGTTCCAAATGTAGGAAAGCTAACCACAATGCCAGCACCTGCCCTCTAGTAGGTGGAATTCAGGTAAAAGGACCATATCAAATTAGCTTTCATGTTAGAATTGGATTTAGATAACACGTAAATGAACTTTTCAGCATGGTCGTTGAATGCTCCTTTCTTTGTTTATGGTAGGAAGCATATATCAATCGTGTTGTCATTAGTAGACGTGCTCAAGATAGAGAAGTTAGGATGGTAAGTTTTCAATGCTCATTGAACTCGACAACTTAACAATGTTTGCGGTACAATAACTCATTTCAATTATTTGCAGGCCAACCAAGGAATTGGTGTGTTGCACACTGATTTAGGAAACACTTATGTGATACTAAATGGTCCAGATAGACCAGGAAGGGTGTTTAGAAGTGACGGGCCTTACGACAACCTTGGTACCGGATCAACGCCTACGGTGATTGCCGAAGGAGGATCACAGCCACCAGCGACACAACCGACCCAGCAACAGTAGGAAAGTGGTTGTAAATGGGTGGTATTATTAGATGTAGGTTTAACGTAGTAGACAATGTTTATTTTGGGCAAATATGGTTGCATTATATCCTGAGGAAATCATGTCAGATTCCCAAACATTGGATTCATTTTGGAAAACTAGACAATGGAAGCCTTTGTTTCTGACCAACACAACTATGTATGTGAATGGTTCAGACTATGATATTGATCATCTATGTCGAACAATTTTAGGATGTCTGAATGGTATGTTTGTAAGATAAAGCTATCGTTGTTTACTTACTATCAGAATCTTATCATAAAGCCAAGGGAATTCCTGAATGTCAGATTCAATAACATACAACCAACATGATCGTTTGACAACATTGTAAATAAACTCGAGCCATAAGTTACAAAAGAGATGTGCATTTGATGTGTTTTGCTTTTTTATATTAAAAACAAAGGATAAAAGTGACATTTCACCTAAAAAGCAATATATCTTATTTAAATACTAGAATAACTATCTCATAAACCAAATTATGTAAACTACAATAGATCAATTTTCTTATATGCATGTATATTATTATGCATGCATTGATGACAATGCATCTATTTAACTCACCAAAACCAAACGACCCCTAAATTCGGGATATCAAAATGTAAAAGGGTTAATTGAATGGTTGGTCACTGAAATTACAAAAAACATTTAAGTTTGGTCACTCAAAATATTTAAATCCATTAGTGGTACTTCAGTTTACTCAAACTGTTCACGTTTGGTCACTCAACTCCGTTAACTTTGGCTGATGTGACAGTCAACTCTCAAAGTTGACCGTTAAATTAGTGACGTGGCAACTAAAAATTATTAAAAATAAAAAAATAATTTTTTATATTTTCCACCTCATTATTACATTCATTAAAAAATAAAAAAACCTAATACCCTACCCACCCAACCTCCACCGCCGCTTCAATCTTTCCACTTGGGCATCCCGCGCGCCACAGGGGAACCTGCTTTCTCTGTTTCTTCCTCCCCTGAAGCCAGAAACAGAGACGACGACGATGACGAGTAAGAAGGGGACAGGGACGACTTCCCCGTCGGGACCGTTTCCTTCCCGCCACCGCGGCGTGTACGGGATCCCTCTCCGCCCTCTCAAGCGCTGATTTGACCTTGTCCAGAGTGCAAACACTTTGGTATTTGGCTGCTACCGTGGCGGTCAGTTTCAGCTCCAGGCTGCTCTCGTCGAAGAGGCTGAGCGTGATTCTCGACGGCGACGGCGGGAAGTTCAAATCCTGGAGCTTGAGGAACGTTTGGCTGAGCTTGTGGCGGTGGTGGTCGGAGGAGGACGACGGCGAAGCTGATGATGCGTTGCTTCTGTGCAAGTACACCTTCCCTGTTTGCACCAAATGAACAAAAACAGAGTATCTCCACAAATTAATTCATAAATATCTTCGAAATTAATTCAATAACAAGGACTTTGAAATTTTCTTTCCCCATGGAAGCGGATGAATGAATTGAAGTTTGGTTTCAATTTTTTTTTTTTCACTTGACCATTAATTAGAGAGAGGGAGGTTTAAAGGGGCTTATTAAAGGCAAATGATAATCAATGAGTTGGCGATGAGTAAAAAAGAATCATAATAATAACATCTACAGGGAGGAGAAATTTTACAATGCTATATAGTATTGGTGCTATAGGATTTTGTCTTTATGGTATAACTTAAAATTGTACATTTACGTTATGGTACAACTTTAGATTGTACCTATACTTTTTGTACAAATTCTTTTATGGTACAACTTGAACTTGTACCTTTATGTGATGGTACAACTTCAAGTTGTAAAGTTGTACCATAACATAATGGTACAAATTGGTTTATGGTACAATCTAAATTTATACATTTAATGTTATGGTACAACTTTAAGTTGTACATTAAAACACCAATACTATATAGCATAATAGAAGTGCTCGTATAGGAGGAGGGATTAAAGAAGTTGCAGAGCATTCAAGAACACCATTCATTAATTTCCACATTATAATACCCACTTGATTTCCCCCAAAAAAATCTTCCAACCCCGCCATTAATGACTCCTACCCGACTTAATTACGCAAAACTTCTTCTCAAAGAAACCAAAATCCAAAGATTATAATCTCAATTCTCAATTACCGTACCATTCAATGATACAATAATAATATATCAATTAAATTGACAAAAAAAAGGGTAGTTTATCTTTGGAGAAGGAGTTCTTGAGAAAACAGAGGCATGGGTATTCATTAGCCCCAAAAAACAGAGCAATGAAAACAGAGCCTGAATTCTGACGTTACATTCGGAATTGGGACCGAATTCTGCTTGGTCCCGAAGGACGAGTGAAGCTGAAAATGGAAAAGGAAGGAAATTTCATCTTTGGGGTTTTAGTACCTTTAAATCGAGGCGCTTTTCCCAGCCAGCGGGGACTTGGACGTTGTTGAAAGGTAATTTGCAATTACCTATGGTAAAGAAACATGATTAATGATGCAACTCACAATGTCTCATGCAAGACAAAAAATAATGAAGTCAAATAAATGGATGGGGCATGGATTGGTTGAGAATTCATATCCATGTCAATTCCATCTGTTAGAAAGAAGAAGCCAAAATCAAATAATGCAAGAGACAATGAGATTAATGCATGGAGTAATGAGTAGGCCAATTGAATTAAGTGATGTTTCCATCTACCACAAGTGGTAACGTGCATGGAGAAAGAAATGGAGCCAATAGCATTATTAGTTTCTTCTTTCATTGTAATATAAATGTGTATGTATGGGTTTGCAAGAGATTGTCAGAGAGACATAAAGAAAGAAAGAAGTCTCTGTATCTATGTGTTTGTAAGCAACAAGAGCCAAAAGTTAAGGCCTTGTTTGTTTGAGTGATTTATAAAAAGAGTGATTAAACACCAATTGTTTCCTTTGTTTTGATCCTATTTTCCACCACAATTCCGCTAATACCCAACAAATTTGGTATCAGAGCTAATACCCTTCTATCCTCTCAAAAATCCCCAAATTTCTAGCCTACCCAATCCTCTCAAAAATCCATGGCAACAACTTCCTCAAACACCATGTTTGCTACCTCTTCTAATCAAATTCCCATTTTCAATGGAGAATTGTACGAGTACTGGAGTGCCCAAATGGAGCCAATTTTCATCTCTCAAGATCTGTGGGATATAGTCCAAGATGGCTATGAAAGTCCACAGGAAGATGATGAAGACTCGAAGAAACGATCAGGCAAGCAGACAAAGGAGTACAAGGAGAATGCCAAGCAAAATGCCAGCGCCTTGAGAATCATTCAGCAAGCAGTGAGCAAATCAATTTACCCCAGAATCTATGGCATCAAAAAGGCCAAAGAAGCATGGGATGTCTTGCGTGAACAATTTCAAGGTTCTGAAAAGGCAATCTCTATCAGGCGCCAAAGTTTATGGCGACAGTTCGACAACTTGATGATGAAGGAAACCGACACCATCAAAGACTTCCATTCGCGTGTGGCGGAGACAGTCAACCAGATCAAAGCCACCGGTGATGTCATGGAAGAAAGAAAAATTGTGGAGAGAATTCTCCGGAGTTTATCATCAAAGTTCGAGCATATTGTTGCTGTCATTGAAGAAACCAAAGATCTGGCAAATCTACCAATGAGCGAGTTGATGGGCTCACTTGTAGCACACGAACAAAGAATGAGCCGCTTCACCAAACCGCCACTGGAGCAAGCTTTCTCGTCAAAAGTCAACATGGCGGAAAGTAAATATGCCAAATCGGAGCAAGGCCAGAGAGGGGGACACTCACAAGGAAGAGGAAGAGGAAGATCCAATTACAGAGGAAACAACAGACAAAATTATCAACAACAAATATCGGGCTACACCGGCTCGAGTTGCATAATTTGCAAAAAGGCGGGTCATGCAACAAAAGACTGCAAATTCAAGTACATCAAGTGCAGAATTCAGAACCACTCCCAGAGAGATTGCTGGTTCCAGAACAAGCAAGAAGATGGCGAGTCAAGCGGCACCAAAAATGAAGAAAGCAATATGGTGGCCTTGTCATGCTTGTATGGTGAGCAAAAATCACAGCTTCCCTGGATGGTGGATAGTGGTTGCAGTAACCACATGACTGGAGATCTGGAGTCCTTCACCGACATCGATGACAAATACCGCTCTCAAGTCAAATTGGGAGACGGGAAGAAGCTAAAAGTGGAAGGAAAAGGCACACTTGTTGTATGCACAGAAGAAGGCAACAAAACTCTCATTCGAGATGTTTTGTATGTTCCGGAGCTAACTCTCAATCTACTTAGCGTGGGACAACTGATGCTGAAAAATTACAAGCTATTGTTTGATAATGGCGTGTGCGAGATTATCAACAAAGCAGACAATTTCATGGTGGCCAAAGTCCCGATGACTTCCAACAGAATTTTCTCTCTTGCTATGTCACAAAATGGTGAAGTAGCATTCAAGAGTGAAAATCTGGATCAATCCTTTCTATGGCATCTCAGATACGGTCATCTCAACTTGAAGATAAAATATGTGAAGGATGCATATATGGCAAAATGCATCGTTTACCATTTCCAAAGACATCTTGGAGAGCAAAAGCGCCACTGGAGTTGGTACATGCAGACATATGCGGTCCAACCCGAACACAATCACTCAGCGGCAAAAGATACTTTCTACTATTTGTAGATGACTTCACCAGAATGATGTGGGTATTCTTTCTGGAGCAAAAGTCAGAAGCTTTTTCCAAGTTCCTTCAATTCCAAGCAGTAGCTGAGAAGGAAAGCGGCCATCAAATCAAAACTCTCCGTACAGATCGTAGAGGAGAATTTATTTATACTCCGTTCATGGAGTATTGCCGCAACAACGGGATAAAAAGGCATCTGACGGTCCGTTACACACCACAACAAAATGGCGTGGCGGAACGGAAAAATCGCACGATTGTGGAGATGGCGAGAAGTATGCTCAAAGCAAAAAAGCTTCCCAACAACTTGTGGGCAGAAGCGGTCAATACAACAATTTACATCCTCAACATATCACCAACCAAAGCAGTTCGGAACAAGACACCGATACATGCGTGGCACCACAGGAGGCCACAGGTCGACCACCTCAAAGTCTTTGGGTGCATAGCTTATGCACACATCTCTACTCCAAACCGAGACAAGTTTGACCAGAAGGGAGAAAAGCTGATCTTCACCGGCTATAGTGATGAGTCCAAAGGCTATCGTCTTTACAACCCAGTAAAGAATGAAGTGGTGGTTTCCCGAGATGTGATCTTTGATGAGATGGCGGAGTGGAATTGGGAAAATCCAATTTCTCAATCTCCACCAAGTTATGAAATTCTGGAGGACTCAGCAACTCCAGAAGACCCCAGCAACGACCCAGATCCAGTTGCTAGTCCAGAAAGAAATTCTGCACCTAGCCCAGAAGGAGACAACTTCAGAGACGTCGTAACAGACTCAGATTCACCTCCATTGAGAACAAGGTCTTTGCGAGAAATTTATGAAACAAGTCATGTGGCATATTTTTCTTGTGAGCCTCAAGTCTTTGAAGAAGCAGCCAAAGATGAAGTTTGAAATGAGGCGATGGATGCAGAAATTTCCATGATCGAGAAAAACAAGACATGGGAGCTTGTTGATCAACCGGAGGACAAGCCGGTTATAGGTCTCAAATGGATCTATAAGATCAAATTCAATGAAGATGGTTCTATCCAGAAGTACAAAGCTCGACTGGTGGCAAAGGGCTATTCACAACAGCCCGATATTGATTTTCACGAGACATATGCACCCGTAGCGAGGATGGAGACCATCAGAACAGTTCTCGCTCTAGCTGCTCAACTGGAGTTACCAGTATACCAGCTGGATGTCAAATCAGCATTTCTGAACGGAGAACTGGAAGAAGAAGTATATGTGGAGCAACCACGAGGCTATGAGAAAAAAGGAGAAGAAGACAAAGTCTATCGTCTCCGAAAGGCTTTATACGGGCTGAAGCAAGCACCGAGAGCCTGGAACAGCAGAATCGATCGATATTTTCAGCAAAACGGATTTCAAAGAAGTCCGAGTGAAGCATCTCTCTACATCAAAAAGGGAGAAGGAAAAGATTTTCTAATGGTTTGTTTATATGTTGATGATTTGATTTACACAGGTACAAGTCAGCATATGATCGAAGAATTCAAAAGTGCCATGATGAAAGAATTCGAGATGACGGACTTGGGACTCATGAAGTATTTTCTTGGGATTCAAGTGAAGCAGTCACCTGGAGAAATATTTATTTCACAGGAGAAATACACCGAAGATATGCTGAAAAGATTTCACATGGCAACGTGCAAACCAATCTCAACACCGATGGCGTTAAACGAGAAATTACAACGCAATGATGGAGCTGAAAAAGTCGATGGAAAGCTGTACAGAAGTCTTGTCGGGTCACTCATTTACCTGACACATACCAGGCCGGATATATGTCATTCAGTAAGTCTTATATCAAGATTTATGAATGAACCTAGCAAACTTCATTTTGCAGCAGCCAAAAGAATTTTGCGGTATCTTCAAGGTACTAAAAAATTGGGCCTGACGTACAAGAAAGAAGCAGAAAGCAAGCTGACTGGATATACCGATAGTGACTGGGCAGGATCACTGGATGATCGAAAAAGCACATCGGAGTACATATTCTGCCTGGGTTCAAAACCCATTTCCTGGAGTTCAAAGAAGCAAAAGACTGTGGCATTATCTTCAGCGGAAGCAGAATATATCGCAGCTACAGATGCAGCATGCGAAGCGGTATGGCTAAAAAGATTAATTTTTGATTTGCAGCAAAATGAAAATGGTCCAACCATTATTCATTGTGACAACATGTCAGCCATAGCCATGACAAAAAATCCAGTATTTCACGCAAGATCGAAGCATATCGAGTTGCGTCATCATTTCATCCGAGACCTCGTCAACGAAGGATTAATCGTGATGGAATTTATCAACACCAACGACCAGCCAACAGATATTATGACAAAAGCGGTTACCCGTGAGAAATTCGAGAAGTTCAAGGAGCTACTCCAAATTGCAAATTAAGAGGGGGTGTTGAAAGGTAATTTGCAATTACCTATGGTAAAGAAACATGATTAATGATGCAACCCACAATGTCTCATGCAAGACAAAAAATAATGAAGTCAAATAAATGGATGGGGCATGGATTGGTTGAGAACTCATATCCATGTCAATTCCATCTGTTAGAAAGAAGAAGCCAAAATCAAAATAATGCAAGAGACAATGAGATTAATGCATGGAGTAATGAGTAGGCCAATTGAATTAAGTGATGTTTCCATCTACCACAAGTGGTAACGTGCATGGAGAAAAAAATGGAGCCAATAGCATTATTAGTTTCTTCTTTCATTGTAATATAAATGTGTATGTATGGGTTTGCAAGAGATTGTCAGAGAGACATAAAGAAAGAAAGAAGTCTCTGTATCTATGTGTTTGTAAGCAACAAGAGCCAAAAGTTAAGGCCTTGTTTGTTTGAGTAATTTATAAAAAGAGTGATTAAACACCAATTGTTTCCTTTGTTTTGATCCTATTTTCCACCACAATTCCGCTAATACCCAACAGACGTCGAGGTCCAATTCCTGAAACTCATTGCCGTCCGACTCACCGACGGCGGAGCTAGTACTGCCGCCGCCGCCGTCGCCGAGCAAATCCCTTGTAATCAGAGAGGGTTCGCCGGCGCCGACAGCGCGGTGTCGGAGTTTTTTTTTCTCCTGAGAGAGGAATTGCGCCGCTGTGGGGTCTGCTGTCGGGCGGCGGAGCACGGCGAGGACAGAGGAGACTTCCGTGTTCAGCATACAGGAGATCCCCAGCTCGATCCTCTTCTTCTTGCTCTTCCTGTTCGTCATTGGCTCCGCCTCCATCACCTCCATTTTTCTTCTCCGGCAACCGATTCTGAAACTTTCTCTCCGGCAATCTTTCAGCGATCAATATTGGAGACGGGAATCGTCTGGATTTCCATGTTGGGAGCGGATTGAACTTATCGGGATGGAAATGTTAAGAGTGGATGGTCGTAATTTGTGGGAAGTCAATTGGCGGGGAAACTGCCAAGTGAGAATCCTGAGAGAGAGGAAACTGCCATTTATAAGGTTCTAAGCTTTCTACCCATGCGAAAAGCCACCATTTCTCTGTGCCAAAGGAAGCCATTAACAATGGTATTTATAAGGTCCGATTTGGAGAGGAGGATTGGGTTTCAGCTTGACGAGGCCATGTGGAAAGGATTGAAGCGGCGGTGGAGGTTGGGTGGGTAGGGTATTAGTTTTTTTTTTAATGTATGTAATAATGAGGTGGAAAATATGAAAATTTATTTTTTATTTTAATAAATTTTTAGTTGCCACGTCACTAATTTAACGGTCAACTTTGAGAGTTGACTGCCACATCAGTCAAAGTTAACGGAGTTGGATGGAGAGTGACCAAACGTGAATGGTTTGAGTAATCTGAAGTACCACCAATTGATTTAAATATTTCGAGTGACCAAACTTGAACGTTTTTTTGTAATCTTAGTGACCAACCATGCAATTAACCCAAATGTAAAATGTACATTATAGTAACTAAGTTGTAATTAAATTAAATTTGGGGCATCAAAATGTAATTATAGTAAACTTACTTCACGTTTATATATAGTAATGTGCTTTCTTTTATACTACTAAAGTGGGATACTATGAAGACTCATTCCACCTAGTAGGCATCATCATTAGGCGTGTACGTGAGGATTGATAATCCATCTATACATGAATGATATTGATGATGATGATATGAGAACACCAATGTGTAGGACACAAGAAATTCCAATTGAGGATTTAGGGATTGAGAAGAGAAGAAATTAGGGATTTGGAGAATTGGGGAAGAACAAGAGAGAAGAGAGAGACCAGGGATTTGAGTTTTCTGAATTATTATTACTTGACTTCCAAAACTAATGAGCTGTAGGCTTAAGTAGTAAACCGAATTATTCTAAATTACAAGTGTGCCATTCCCTTTCCCCCAATTCCCTTCCTGGCCGAGTCGGCCCTCACTCCCCTCCCCCGGTCGGGTTTCCCACACAATGCTAGTAGATTAATGATGATGGTCATAAAAGTCGTAATATCTTATGATATCCGTACTTCCTTGTTCTTCATCGATTGATTGATTGATGGGATGAAGTGTATGCTCGCATTGATTAATCAAATCCATGTGTAAAAAGTGTATACCCTCACAGGGAGTAGCCTTAGTGGAAGGGATAGGATGCCATGAAGGATGAGTCATTGATGTATGATATTGATATGAATGAGATGATGGTATAAATGTGTGCTTATGGATGAACGTACCTACATTATTGCGTGTATTTACTTCTATGCATCTATAAATTGAAAAACCCTAAATGCTTCTATGATTCATTGCTTTACTTTAGGTGCTTATTTATCTTATGTTAGTCGAAAATCATAACCCTAAATGTCTTTAAATTTCGTGTATGTAGGCATGATGATTGTTTGATTTGAGTAGTTATCCATTAGAAAGAACTTGTGAAATACGACCCTAGTGCATCCTTGGACTTTACTTCTATGATATGTTGTGTGCACGTTAGTCGCTCACGTTCTTTTGGGAGTAGCCACCGAACATAGCTTGTAGTTGTTCTATTCGAACACTATTTTCTGACTTCACCACCGGTCTCCCCCTCCCCTCATTTTGGATGGTGTTTTATGACTTTGGCCCCTAGTTGAATTCTTCAAAGTATACGTATCGGGTGGGAGGTTGCAACACTTGCTAGTTTTTTAGATTAAATAAAATTAGGTGTGTGGCAACGGTCCGGTGCGATACAACCCAGACAAACCCATAAAAACCACTATCCAATAGTAAAATAAATTTCGAGAACCAAAAATCAGAGCATCATTACATTCGCTCCGATTTAGACCACTCAAAATATCAATTTCGATCAAGTTCTATTCGATGATTATAAAAATTCATGTAACAAATAATTGAATAGAGTTATATTTGATTCGGTATAATCTGTTCCGAACGATTTCATCTAAGACTAATTTGATTCACACCCCTTGCCCTTAAATAATAATATAATAAAACTATATCAAATAGTGGGGAAAGCTAAGAGAGAGAAAAGCAGTACCGTTTTTTCCCCATTTTACCACCTGCCGGTAGGTAAACAATAATTGACCATATTAGCTTTTTGCCAATTAAAGGCAGGGATTTTTCCAGAAATAGCACTGTTTAAAAAAAAATTCCTAAAATAGCACCTAAGTCCGAAAAATTCCAAAAATAGCACCCTTTTCCAAAAACCGCTCCCTACCAGTGCGGTTTAGGCGAAAACCTCCACCCAGGGGCGCGTTTTTCAATGAAAACCGCACCCCCAGGGGGCGGTTTTGCAGACCGCACCCCCACCATGCGATTTGGTTGCAGATCGCACCCCCAAGGAAACTTCAAACGGACGTATCTTTGTGTTCGGGTATCCAATCGTCGCAAAAATTTTTTTGATTCCGCATAAATTTTTGAGATCTTGCAAGCCAAAGGTGGATTGGTCCCGCCTTCATCCCAAAAAATGTCGTTTGCTACCCCGAACGAGCTTTTTTCCGATTTCGTCAAACTTTGGACAACCATAACTTTGTGCTCCAAAATCCAAACAACATGAATTTTTTTTTATTTCACATAACTTTTTAAGGACTACAACTTTTATCATAGACACAACTTTTATGAGGTGTCTGTTTATTCATGAACGGATCCTCTGCAGCACCTCAGCAACTTGTCCAATCCTTCCTGCAACCATAACAGTTACTTCTTTTGTTGCTATGAGATATTTGTTTATACTCTGACTTTGAGCTTGGCGGCAGCCTGGCTGCTCTATGAATTGTCCAACACCAAGTCATCTCCCTTGCTAATCTTTGTTCATGGTATATATTTCGCTGCTTACTGAGTGCTTCATGGTATGTGGTTGCAGTAGTCCTCAACAAGTATCTTTCGGTTGGAGTTCCTTGTTTGCTATAGGAGTTCATTGATATGGCGTCGTTATCTCATGAAAACTGGGCTCAAGTTGAAGAACATGAAGGCGTTCTATACATAAGAGCGATTTTGAACCGTGGAATCGGGGACTGCACAGTGCGTCATGGCTGTGTACCGTATACTTTTCAACAAGAATTAAGGGCTTTTTCACGAGGATGCAATGCTCAGTGCGACTCTGTGTTGAAGAGCATTACCCCATATGTTCGTGATGCCAAAGTGTACTTCATCTATAACAACTACTCCTTTACTCTCAATGAAATCAACAATTTGGAAGATCGAAAAATCGTCTCTAATGGAAAGCTCACAGACAGTTTCCTAAATTTAATGAGGTACAAAGCTAATATTTCAAGTTTTTATTAATATTAGTTTGGTTGGTGTGATTTGCTGAAGTTTCGGTTTTCCCCCCATTAATATTAGCTAAAAATGTCTATGTTTTATAATAAATAGGAACATACTTCTTGCTTTAGAAGATATGCACTAGGGGAAGAATCTGATACATTGCAACATAGCTGCACGAAATATTGTTGTTATTGCAACTGGAGCTGAGTTTTGCGTCAAATACACGGGTCTCGGAGATGATACTGTTAGGGGAGATTGTGCAAGGTTTTATTGATCATAAAAAGTCAGAGATTGTAATGCTTTGGCAGATGTACTTACAACTATAGTCCGTGACTCACTAATTCCAGCTTCGTTGCCTCCATTGTTTACTGCTGTTATGGCACAATTGAGGTGAGTTTTCTTTCCTTTTGTTAGTTATTTATCTCATATGTATTATTTGTATTGTCTCTTAAAGGTCCGGTTTATTTATTTTCATCGTCTTCCTTTGCAGAACCATTGGGTGCAGACACTTGTCGAATTCATTCTTCTTCTTGCAGATAAATGCTTTCAAATCAGCATTCCACGGGTACTTGCCCATTAGTCCCAATAGTTGGATAGATCAAGCAAGCAAGAATTCTCAACTGTTTGAAGTCTTAAAGTACCCAACAAAAAAGGAGTACGGCAACATGGATGCGTTTTCTTTTCTGCGATTTTGTCGAAATGCTATTATGCATTATCCGAATACAGCCGAGGTACTTATTAGTTATTACTACAATTCTAGAGTGGCCAATTCATTCTGTTCATTTTTAAGACTTGAATTGGTTACTAGTTATTTTATTTGTACAGGGCCAGAAAACCAGTTTTGAAGTTTAGTGGGAAGCTCTCTACCAAATTTCACCAGACTTGAATTGGTTACTAGTTATTTTATTTGTACAGGGCCAGAAAACCAGTTTTGAAGTTCAGTGGGAAGCTCTCTATCAAATTTCACCAGATTTTTTCCTCAACTTGCATGAATACTTATGTAAAATTCATATCATCGTTGTTGAGTAGACATATGAGAAATGTAAGGTAGGTTTTTTGAGTAGAGCACCAACAGAAGGCTTCGATCAGCCCGAATCTTCCAATGATCTTTCGTAGTTTGCTGTGCTTATCTATATACACCTGAGATCTGTATTATGTCAGAATGATGTCAATGAACTGGGTTGAACGGCTAGCCAGCTGTTTGTGTTTACTTCAGTTTCATAGCCTTATGCAAACGAGTAATTCCTATTGTATTGCATTTGAGTACTTGAAACAAGTTACTGAAAGTGGACTCTATGGGCACCCGAGATCTGTGTTGTGTCGGAATTATGTGAAGTGGATTCTATAGCTCCTTGATAAGAGGCAACCTTCGAGTGTTGTTTTTATTGCTGAGGGGTCCAACTTGTTCTCCCATAAGAATTCAATCTTCGTTGAAGTTCGAGATTCCTTCAACACATCAAAATTTGTGAATTCCATTTCTTGGTCTCAAGAAGGGCACTACTATTTACCTTAAAGCTACAGATGTTAATGCACAAATAGAAACCTACTGCTATGAGATCTGTTATATCAGCTGCATTCTATGTTTGCCAGAAATTAATATCTTTTTGTTGACTGCTTAGTTCATTGTGAATGTCAAACCTGATTTGGATTTCTGTGGCTTAGGTGAGACATCGTCGGAGGAAACATCATGGGATAGAGGGGGGAATACATGTTGTATTCTCTATGGAAAAACCAAAAGCCAAACTGCTTTCATTCAAGGGACCAAGTGGAGAAGAAGAAAATCTTTCTGATTATCAGGTGAGGATGCTTCCGATCATTTTAAACCATGTTGTTCATTGTGTCTTGTATATTTAAGCTTTATTTATAACCATATGAATCAATTCTAGAGAGTTCCTGGATTCAGGGTGCGGATCAGTGCTGTTTGGGCTCCAATCCCTGCAATCAGTTTGATTCAGGCAGCTCATAAGTATTTTAGAAGAAGTCCCCCTTTGCTGCTTTGTTTATGTGTCGTGACATTTGAATTCGACGCGATTGAAGTTCCCATCCTCTCTTTCGTTGGAAAATGAGAGTGAATGTAAAGAATGAAACAGGCTAGCGTCATCTAAGTTTGGAGTTTTGTGCCAAATTTATCCCCACCCTCCCCCCGGTTTCATGCAAATATCGGTGGCCTGGCCTCAGCTTAGATGCTTCCCATTTTCCCAACCGTGTCTGGCTTTTCTAAAAAGTTGAAGATGATCACAGGCAGCGGTGATATCAAAATGGGAGTTTCTTACCACTTGGTCCCTGTTTCTTTTCTTTGGCAGGCTGATGAACATCGGATGTTTCAGAAGGGACGTAGGCTGATGAACATGAATCGAGAACACTGGAGGATATAAAGGGGACAGAACTAGAGTTTTTGCTGCTGGTGATGACTGTCCTGAAGATAGCACAGCTCGAGTTTGGCTCTTGACTTCTTAGTCATGCTTTGTAGCTATTGCAGTGCTCTTCTTTCTCTCTAAGCTACTGATTTTGTACAATGCCTGCTTCTCCAGTGAGCAAAAAGAGCCCCGCAAACGGATGGTCATCTTGTTAAGTCTTTCGTCGAGAGCAAGGTTAAAATGATGTAGATTACATGTGCTCCAACTGTGTAGTTCAGTACCAAAATCTGAGGAATCACCTTTGCAATTCTGTACCAAGTAGCATGCACAGTCAGAAATGAGTTCGTCATTTAGGTATAACTGTTTTACAAGTTGCCACACAGCTTCTTCAATCCAATCGCACTACCAAATCAGATTCAGAAGCCAAAATCCGTCCCTACGGAAACTACCTTCCCTGATAAACAAAGTCAACAAATACAAATGCGCAATAATGTTGCATAACTAAATATTCATTTTCCGAATTTTACATTCACGACTTCACATCTCTTAAATCACCCCTTTTTCAAGTTCGCTAACTAGGGCCCTAAGTGATGGGACCTTCATGGCTCAAGTCCTATTCACTATACAGTCTTGAGTACGGTGCCCTCATCTCGTTTGCATTCCTCGCCAGAGCTAGCAAGCTCAGAGCCTCGGGAAGCTAAGAGAAAGCCTGTTTCATTTCCTCCGAGTCAAGGTTTTCAAGAACCAACGGTTTCGGAACCACTCTCACTATCTCGCCGCCTTTGGGTTCTTCGGCGCGTGCGTCGGCCTTGATTACCAGTTCGAGCTTGAGTTCGCTCCACATTTGCTGATGAAGGTAGTTGTGGACCCCGTATTGAACTGCAGGACGTTCCATTGTGCCACGTCAGTTTCGGTGCCAGACCCCACAGCATCTACTGATAGTTTCCGACCGTGCTCGAAAACTGCATCACCTTGTTAGGGGATTGACTGCAGGTATACACGAAAAAGTTGAAAAGAAGTAATGGAATCAAGACAATCGAGTTATACGATTCTAAATGGATCATGAAAGATGTTAAAAACAGAGTTTCTAACGGATTTGGGAATTGTGAGAATAGCTAGATCAACTAGGGATTGACCGAAACAAATAATTAACCAAAAGCTGAGCCTTTCGTTCTTCCCTAGTGGGGTGGTTCTTGAACCATCGCTCAGCTGAGTACAGCCACAGTCCTGCATCCTCACGACCACTGTATTTCGGGAACTCAATGGTGGGAGGCCGAGCTCGAAACACCATATCATCCTCTTCCTCCCCACCCCGGAAATAACCGGTATTCCTTCCACCGCTTGGGCCCCCACTGTGGTAGTGCTGGGTGAACCGCGGATCCCCGTCACACCCCCAGTCGTCCCCCTCATCCTCCTGGTACCCTGCTCTCCCGCTTAACTCACTTCTCGGCCTTCGATCCCCCGTCCACGTCCTCCTGGATTCCTTCCTGGCGCCCCGCTGAAGTTCAGAAGAAGGAAGGGGCCCACAATACTCGTCGAACTGGCCTTGCGGCCCTAGGTAGCCCCTACTGTCCGCCTGGTTCGAATACCCCGCCAGTTGGACCGGTTCGGCCATTGCCAGCCAATTTCGGTTCGACCGAATTTGGTTCGGCCGGGTCGGTTTGACCGGATTTGGTCCGACCAGTCTCGGCTCGACCTCCGGTGACCCGGCTCGCCCCTGCTCGGCCCCAATCACCCTGGCCCGGTTGGTTTCGGCTCGCTCCCCCGGCCGGCCCGACTCCCTCCAGCCTCCTCCCGGTCCGCCTTCCCACCGGGCTCGGCCCACCAGGCTACCCTCCTCCGTCCTGCCATCCGCGCCCAGCCCACTCTGCTCGTTGGGCCAAGGCCCGCGATCCATCTCTTGCTCCGGATCCGCCAACTCCTCCAAGTTCAGGCCCGCGTGCGGGCCCGGATCCACATACTCGGCCATCTTGGCCTTGCCACGCGCACTAGCCATCTCCTGGGCCGATGGAGTAGGCAGAAGCCCATCCTTGCTTGTTGGGCCGAACGAGACTTGGCCCGGACGCGAAACAGGGGGTCGGCTAGGGTTGCTCGCCGCTGCCCCCCCCCCCCCCCCCTTCCGCCGAACCCTTCTCGGCTCCCTGGCCGCCGCCACCGAGGCGGACTCCTCCGCCGCGCCTCTCTCCTCCGGCGGCTTCCCGCCATCGCCAGCCGCTGCCCCGCCTCTCTTCCAAGCCTCCGTCAGACTGCTCACCTGCCCCTGCAACGCCTTCACAGCCGCCAACAACGCGTCGAGAGTGCGGCTGTGATCTCTGGCTTGCTCTGCTTGCGTCTCCACGACCTTCCTCAGCCCTTCGATCTCCGTGAGATCCTCTAACTCCCCGTCGAGCCCTACATCGCCCGCATCGGTGCCTTTCTCGGCTGCCTGAGCCGTCTTCTCTGCCGCTTTCATTGACTTCGTCGATACCATTGCCGCCTTCCCTGGTTCAAGAGCTCAAAAGAACTCACTCTCAAACCAGGCTCTGATACCAGATGTTAGAAACAGAGTTTCTAACGAGTTTGGGAATTGTGAGAATAGCTAGATCAATTAGGGATTGACCGAGCTAGGGATTAGAATTTGGAAAATTGGGATTAGAGAGGGGAAAGAAGGGGGTCGGCTGCTGCCGAGTTTGGGGAAGAAGAAGGGGAAAAGGGACGCAGGAGGGAGAGGAAGAGAGAGAGAGTAGGTTTAGGTTTTTGATATTTTATTGCTTAATGCCAAAATAACTCCTACTGCAGATTATATAATCCGCATAATTCCTATCTCCTACCCAACAAATAAAACATAACAATCGACTCCCGGTTTATTGCCCAAATTCCCAAATAATCCCCCAATTAACAAAACCGACAAATAAAGCGAATTAACCAAAAGCTGCAAATTATTTGTTTCTGACAAAAGACCGTTATTTGTCAACGTTGTCATTTTGCAGAGATTAAAAATGTGGATCATCCGGAACAGTTTTTCATTACTCAAGGTGAGGCCAAGTGAGAAATGAAAAACGAAATACCTCGACAGAGCTGCGAGCATCTGCAATTTGCCTTAGTGCACATGGATCAACGATCTCGAGAAGAGATGGCATGCGTTCCCCAAGTTCATCGAGAGAAGATAGCAACGCTTTCTTCTTACTTTTATTCAAGGTGTTAACAGATGACTGTCGCAATATATCCCATGAAAGTAACCATGGTGGTCAGTTGTTGTATCCAAACTTGCTACATTCACACAAGCATATAGTGAAAATATGCCAGCAAATAGCATTGTGAGAGGTCCACCTTGACTTGCTTCAGCATGCCATCAAGCGAAATCAGAGAAGCTAATCGAGCATCCTCAGCCGCAGTTGAAGGATTGTGAATAGGTGCATTACTCGCTAATGCTAGAAGCCCAGCATCACTTTTCATTTGCGGCAAAATCTAATCAGTAGAAAAGAAACAAAAATTAAACCCCAGCTCTGATGATATAAAGGATTCCTACAAGAATATGGAAGTAGCCAGAAGATATCTACCTTTCTTCTTTATGATCAATGGACTCCAATGCTGATCGCAATTTAGCTACTTGAGTTGTGTCTTCTGCTTCTTCCGTTTCCAAGGTTCCAGCAATATCCTGATCAGGAAATTTATTTAGGCGAAGTTAGAGACACTCTTCAATATAATTGCATTCCTCAAAAGAAGCAGGCTACTTGCCTGGGTGATATCATTTAGAAAATTTATCACATTTTCCAGGCATCAACTACTAAGACACAATACCTTGAAATGCTGCAACTGGGAAGTGTAGACCCGCTTAGCATACTCCGATAGAAGCTGCCCGAGTGCATCTGTACTAGGATGCATTGCCGCTCCAAGTCCCACCATCCAACCATCCATAACTGCTGTAGAAAGGAGCTTCAATTGACCACTCGTGTTCCGGCCATGACCTGATCTGACGCTTCAGCTCACCAGCTGGAGTATGCACAAAGACGGCAGCAAGTTCCTTACTCCTGGAGTTCCCTCAGTTATCCACCTGAAATTTGCTGCCTCCATGGATCCTATACTGGAGATAACAGTTCAAGTGCAACATGAAGAAAACATCAGGCATCTCATGTTCCGCATCGAAAAATTATTGAATTGGGTTATGAGACTGTAAGTAACGACGGAAAGAAAAATGAAAATCCAGACAAGCAAAGACAAGTTATGTATTTTCTGCTTGGCAACAAAAGGCAGAGTTCAAAGGTAGAGGCACAGCAGTTCTCCAAATAGTCGCTCTCAAAGATCCAACATTTTTCCAAAGCCACTGGAACAATACAGAAGCAATCAGTACCATGCACCACAGGCCACAGGCCACAGCCTTACCTGATCAATCCCTCGCATCCTCCACACAACAGATGACAACTTGGACTTCTGGCTTGATATTCACTTTAAACCCCTGGATCTGCTCCTCTGCATAACGTACAAGAGATCTTATAGGACTACTGCCACGTCTTGAACTTCTGCTTCTTCCAGTATTCACCCTTTCCAGAAAGCACTATACAGGAGATACCTGCAGGTGGTGAGGAATAAGAAATTATGAAATCAGATGAAAAATATCATAATTGGCAAAACAATAAACCGAAAAAGATGAGCAAACATAAACCTTCATTGATTGCAGTTCTGGTGATCTTGCAAGTAAAGATCTTATGTACGAAATGCAAACACGAGAAACAAGCATGTTGTCTGTCCATCACTCTTTTTGGCTCCATATTGCGGATAAAGGCGAAAACAGCATCTCGGATTTCAGCAAGTATTTCATGCTCCCTTCAAGCACCAGCTTTAATAACAGCAGCCAGAACCTGCAAAAATTAGCAGATAGCATCATTAGTGTCTTCATGATAAGCTGTATATGCTTAGTAATGAGTTCAGGGCCTGCAAACATAATGAATAGACTTTGGAAATCATATAAGGGCTTTCCCCAGAGCACCTGGCCCAAGAATCAGAATGAACATTAACATCCACAAGAACAAAAGAACTCGAGGAATACTCATACCCGTTGACTCCAGTTTTCACATCAAATAAGACATGGGTGAATAAAACATACATAACGTAAATTGCTTTAGATGAAAATTATTACTCATAGATGACAATCTAGGACTTTATTGGACCTATACTTTATCACTTTGATACTCTTTTCAATGAATCAAGGAATAACTACTGTACTTGCAAAGAATGCAAGCACTTCAACACATAAAAATTGAGGTGCATAACAGTAAAGAGTGTTGGCTGGAGCAAACTTGAAGGAAGTGTTGTATTATCAGTCGGCATACCAACATTAGAAGCTTGTTAGCTCCATATGAAATTGCAGCACCGCTGTCTTGTTGTTCAGGATCAAAGTCATTTAGAGAAGCTGTGAGATATGCTACTGCTGTAGTTGTCTTGGCCATCTCTGAGCTAGATTTAGCCAAAGCAACTGTTCCATCAAGTTGGCAGTAGCCAAGGTAAAGGAACAGTATATGTGGACTGTCCTTCGTTACTATCATTCCTGAGAAAGTGCACCACAGATATATGTAAACAAAAGACAGGTCACTTAATCAATCAAAACATTAGGACCAACAATGCTTCTGAAATCACGCTAACAGTAAACTACATTACACACATGCAGCATGCCAGAGGTTGGAGAAGCACAACCTGAAATAAATAACAAATTTCACTACTTAACAATAACAAGATTGAGCTTATTGTTTGAGAAACATGCCCGCCAGTATGTACCAGATGCACATTCAAGAAGTCCTGAAAGAATGCCCAAACTTTATCCAAGCCATTTACTGATTGGATTACACCATTATGAGAGAAGATAGGATTGATTGTAGAAGCAACATCAACATCTAGATCTCAAATAAAAAACAATTTGTAAGAGACAATGGTATCTATGAGACATTTGCAGCCAAAACCACAAGCTGATCCCTAAGAATAAGCTCCATAATAACTGCTCTAACATACATATCCAGAAACCTTGATCTGTTGTAAAAGGTAACAAAATCCAACCAATATCCTTGAACCCTTAGAATACGGTAGCAAAACTGATGTCGGTGAAACAACAAGGGGAGTAGCAAAGATATGATGGCAGCAGAAGAAGCACTCAACACACTGACACATAAAACATGATATGCATGTTTCATATGCGTCCCAAGAAAATGATGGGGAAATAAATTGTACACTCCATCGGCCATTAGGGAAACAGAAAATAACAATCACCTGCGGAGATGCACTTAATGAGGCTTCTATCAAATAGCTTCTCATTCTCTTCATGCAACTTCTGCACAGAAGATAAGAATTTATTAGAAAAGATTCTGAAGATTTAAACTTCAATCAAGTCGTAGTAAATCCAGAAGTTTTGCATTGACCAAAGCTTCACTGGTAGTGCAACTAAAACATGCAATGACCGAGGGTAGGAACTTGTGCAGACATATCTAACGCCATAAAAACAGGTATAGCCATTCACCACTGCTCTTCCACGTACGTGGTTGTGATTGATTCAAGAAAGGAGGGAAGAGTTGCATAAATTGACTGATTAATCCCATAAAGCAAAAGCTATCCACTAGGCCCAGTTTAGCAGTTAACAGTATTGTTATGAGTTCAAATCCATCACCAGAAGTAATTTTGTCACTGGATATCAGTTTTTACAAGCTTACCTCTATAAGTGCATCAAGCTTTTTGAGTTCTTCCTCAAGTTTCTTGGTAACAGAAGAAGAATCTAAGCCATCGCCACTTTGAGAAATCTTAAAGAGTGAATTCCAAATGAAACTCAGAATTCTTTATCAACAAAAGCCTCAGAAGCAGTAAGTTATAAGATCCGAATACTTCAGCCATCACACTATTTCAGTTATACCTCCACCGAATTCGGGGATAACACAGCAGAAAACTCAGGACAGTCAAAGAACCTGACTGACCCATTATGTTGACTAATGAACTTATTCATGTTTTTACTTTTTTCTTAAAAACTTTACCATGCAGATATAATACTATATATTTCCAATGTAAATATGAAATCTATACACTTGAGATACAAAACGATGTTGCTGATGTACAAACCTGCAATCCTTAAAGGGTAGAATCACTTTGTTGGATCTCGGTTGGAAATTCATTATTTCAACATCTTTTCAGGGTTCCCAATAATTATTTTAACTTGTCATCTATATCTAGGTACATATCTTAAATCATTCCATCATTCTTCAAGAAGAACATCTGGTCCGAAGATCAACCATGCATTGAAGGGATATGAGACACGGAATATTTTACATGAGTGGTACACATAACAAATAAGAACTCACAGAATCTTTCCACTTCTCGATAGTATCTTGATTTCCAAGACTTGGTACAGAATTTCACGCTCTAGCACAGAAATTAAGTGATGCCATTGTCTCCGACAAGTTTGCAGCATTTGGACAAGATTGAGTATCATCGAAGTTTTTGAGCTACCCCCTGCAAAGATCACAAGAATTCAAGAGACTAACTACTAAAAAATTGTACAAGGAAAAACATGACGGAAAGAGGCGAAAAACTGAATTAAAACCTGAACACAGACAAACCAACAATAATTTCACTTACAAGCTAATATACTTTAGGTTTCAAATTTAATGCATCATACAGCTGTCTTGAGAACTTAAATAATGTTGTGCCTCTAAGCCAAATGACAAGCACTGGCAAGAAACAATTTTACAACAAGCAATTGCAATTATCAAGAAAGTTTCACATAAGCACTGAATTTTCATAGGGAACTAGAATCAATACCCACAGCTACACCTCGAGGACTAAACTTACAACCAAATTATTCTATAGTAGCGAGGAGGTGGTCACCACTCTTAAATGAACTTGTGTCTGTTAGTGGTGAGTTGGTAACTCGGTATGATATTTTTGGTAATTTGAAGTGTACAAAACATCCTTTTGCATCTCGTGTATTTTACGGTGTATTTGTTTTGATTAATCACTCTCCTCGGTTAAGTAAGATGGCAGTTGAGAAGACAAATGGGAAAATGAAATTGACATGTTTTTAGGGCAATGATATGTGCGTGTGCGCCAAGAGAGAAGTAACTGAGATGGCAAATGGGAAATTGAAATTGACATGTTTTCTGTAGCCTGCAAGAGATGAGCATAATTCCAGGAGGAACAATGGGTGGCTAGGGAACCTTTGCAGGTGAGCGATCCAGCAACCTTGGTGAGTTTCCACTCTAGCAGCAAACCCAGAACTCCAATCACCCTTCTTTCCGCAGCTAGAGGAGTCATGACCAGACATAGAGTTCTTTCTTTCGGCTGCACCTGGTGCAGTGTGCAATCTTTGCATTTCACTAAAGCATTATCCCATCAAAAGCACTGGCTGTTTTAATTGCATTACAGCAATTCTTCCCACCGAAAGCTTTTCACTTTAAGATTGACAGTATGACATATATACCAAGGTGTAAGTAAGATCTTCAAGAAGCCTTGATGAGCTCAGCATTCCGTCCCAACTTCTGCAAGCTGATCCCATTTAGGAATGAAGCAAGAGTTCTGAAATGGAAACGGTCCCGGTACATTATAGGCTCTATGTTTGGCCTTTGGACCTGCAATAAAAGGAATTAATATTAATGTGAGATAATCATCTTGAAGGCAGAACCCACGCCTAATAGTATATGGAAAATAGGACATGGTGCAGTATTGTCGAAGTCTTAGAAATGACCATGAAATAATTGGGTACTATGTAACTTAACAACTCTGATACAACATCCAATAGGCTTGATACAGCTCCACAATAGTAAGGACTTGATTATCCTAAGAACTTGTTATCCTTCAAACTTAAAAGAGTTATTTCAAATATATAGAGCGGAGACAGGAGAACCAACCTACTGCACCAAACTCCTCTACGGAACTCGACATGGGCACCATCAAGTTGTCGAGTTCTCTCTCCACACCATAACATGTGAGCCGAGCAAACATAGTAGAGCCCTGATACTGAATTCAACCTTGTAAGAGCTTACTCATATGGTAGCAGCAAGCATTCATGGAAGTCCATATTCTTTTCTTGCCATGATGGGCGTTCTTTTGATACTACAGTAGCAGCCATAAGCTCTATTGCCTCATCCATCAGATTCGCCAAATCTTAGTACCTATGAACATGAAAAAGCAAACAAACAACACAGTAGCAAGATCAATATTTCGAAGAAGCCTTTTCATGTAAAAAATAATCTAATGACCAGTTCTGGTTTGTGCATACCTATCTCATATGGCAGCAGCAAACATTCATGGGAAGTACATAATTCTGTTCTTGCCATGATGGAGTGTTCTCTGATACTCCAGCAGCAGCCATAAACCCTATGGCCTCATCCGCATAATTCACCAAGTCTTCATGCCTATGAGTATGAAAAAGGAAACAAACAACACAGCAGCAACGACCCATATCATGAAGAAGCCTTTTCATGTAAAAATGTAATCTAATAGCCAGTTTTCGTTTGTATATACATGTCTCCCTGATCGCTCCGCTCAACAAAATTGAGAATCCATCGGTTAGCCCTTTGCATCGTAGCAGCCACCAGTATCGCTGCAGATTGGCCATGGGGCCTGATCATTCTCCGAGGATCTGGGATCCTTGACTCCTCATTGGGGATCACCGGCCTCCCGTCCCAGTGTGCCCTGATCATTCCCCCTTGTAGATCGGCAACGTCTTCCCGTCTTTCACTTCATATGCATTAGACCTTGGCTTCGCAAAGTGACCAGCCATTCTCCCCGCCTAACAGTAATTAAGAGTTCAATGGGAAACTTGCAGTGAAAAAGGATATGACTGAAGCAAGATGGCTGGGAAACCGAAAACTTACAATAAAAAAGGAGGCCCTCTCGACCCGTTGCTTCTAGCATGCTGATTGAAATATTACCATATTGAAAAGTTGGGTTGCTTGGAGTTCGTGAGCACTGGTCAAGTATCTTCCCCATGGAACTTAATCCATCTTCTCTCCCAATACTCTCCTTTATCCTGATCTACTCTGGTATCTGGCTATGCGAAGCCGTACCAGACAGTTTCCTTCCTCAAATGAATCGGAATTGGACTTGGAGAGGTCTGATGGCAGTGAGACTGGGGCAAGAGATTTCTGGAAGGACGAAAGAGGTGAGATATTAAAAGCTAAGATCAGAGAGACAGAATTGAATTGAAGACATATGAAAAATACATATCGCTAGAGGGGAGAGAAGTCTTACCTCAAAGAGCAAGGGCTACTGCAGAAAAAACATGGGAGCTGGAGTGTTGGAGTAGACGCAGAAGTTAACCTACTAACTGCAATATTCGTTCGCAGATACTCACAGGGTCAGATTTTGGGCCACGTCTGCTTGGGCTTCATCCAACGGAGGAGAGTGGCGGCTGGGTGGTGGCTCACTTAAATGAGCTGGAGATGGGCTTTCATGTAGAAGTTGGCCCAGCGTGCGGCGCAGAAGGTGAGCCGAGCAAGTGGGCCAATACTACGGTGCCGCTATAAAAAGTGCGGCACTGGTGACGCTGAATATGATTGGGCCACGTAAGTATTGACGTGGCATGGGGTGGTTTTAATTGAGTTTGTGCCCGAACCTGGTGAACCGTCGCCCACGTCGAACTTGAAGCTACCCACGCAAACGGAATTCTTTCCGTCCGTCTTCTACGTTTTTTACTTGTGTTAATTTTCCCATTAACTTCATCGTCTTCGAGTTAAGTGATATTTTATTTTGGTCGCCAGAAACCAAGGAGAAAGAAAACGAAGCAATCGGGAAGTAGTTCATCGTCGTAGATGCGCACTCTCCACAAGGACTTCAGTCGACTCCTCAGTCGTGGATTCGATCTCAGGGCCTACCAAACAGCTCCATTGAAGTTCAGCTTGCGTTTCCGCCTTCAATTATTCAGCAAACCGGTAGCCACAGTACTAGCCGTGCCCAAAATTGAGGTTTTTCCTCTCCCTCTCCCTCTCCTCGCTGCTCCGTCAAAGATTAAGGTGGTGGTCGGTCGTCGTGGCGACAAGAGTGTTGTGAAGGTAGTGCTTGGCACTCGGCAGCGGCTTCCAGGTAAGTCTCTCGTCTATTTTGTCTTACGTACTCTATGAACTCGAGCGTCGGCGATACTTGGTCAGGTTTGCTTGTTCTTACCTTAGGGTTAGTTGGGTTTGGGAATTCTGAGAATTTTCTTAGCCGATGAGATGTCCTCCTGACCTTTTCAGCTCTTTTGTTTCAACTTCGAACGACCAGCCGGTGGCAGGCGCTTGAAATCGATGCAGCTCTAGGGTCTTGTACTGTGCTATATAGGGAAGTTCAAGGCCAAGAAACTGTGAAATTTGGGAGCTCCTCATATGGCTGTTGTAATAGAAAGGACAGGAAAACATGATGGAAGTGAGATAACACTGGTAGTTTGAATGAAATAATAGGGTTGTTGTAATTATATTATAACCAGTCCCTAATGCGTCACTAAGCTTCCATCGATAGTGTAGTAGTTAGCGCGAGAGCACTGAATTTTATTAACTTGCCATGGTCGTTGTGATACAACTCCCTGACAGAAGGACAACCTTCCAAGAATTCAATGGCTGATAGGAGGAGAAGGCAGAGACTTAATAACAAGCTTTCAATGTCGAGATCAATTGTCCCAAAGATCAGCAAGGTTTGTGCTTTGTTCCCCCCCCCCCCCTCTTTTGTTTTGCTTTTGTGTGTTCGGTTGTTTCTTTCTTGGCATTGACAAGGGAAAGTTTGTGTGTCTTGGGTAGATGGACATAACTTCAATTCATGGAGACACAATTGACTATGTGAAGGAACTTCTTGAGAGTTGCGACAAGAAGTAAAAGTAGAAAAAGAAGAGAGTGAGGATGGAGTAAAGCAAGTGAACCATTATCAGGTAAGCAATACAAGAGTTTTTATCAGCTCGAATCTGAGAATGTTGTAATATTAGAAACTGCACTTGTGTCAATGGAAAAGTGCCAGTGGGGAGTCCAAGTACTGCTGCTAGAATATGTCGAGGCCAGCCAGCCAAAAAATGCAGTGGAATGGAATGAGAGAATCAAGCCAAGCAGTTGAGGGAGGGACAGAAGTTGCAGCCGCAGATTTCAGAGCTCATCCATTATAGTGAAACCATTGCTCTTTCATTTTCTTGTATAAACATTGTTGTTTGTTGTAGGCTTGTAGCTAGTTAGCTACTTTGCATACAATAGATACCGTATCTGGATGAATAATAAAACCCCATTACACCTACGATTGTCTCTGCCTTTTAGCACTCGAAGAAGAGTGGGATTGCACTAGGTTGAGAATGAAATCACAAGTCAATCCAGTTTTCTTTGCAAGACATTCATATCCTCTTCATCAACAATCCCATTTAGCATCTTGGTTAACTCTGCTTAACAACAAAAAGACAGAAATCTAAGTACAAAAATTTAAGCAGCTGACATGTATAACTGTTGTCTTTAGACAGAATTGTTAGCATAATCTAAACGCAACACCACACCGCATTTAGAAATGCGATGCTATACTTCGCTAGGTGTGTTGGAAGATTCTGTACTTCTTATGTAATTGTTATGCATTCCATATTATTGTTCTTAATTCTTATAAATACTTGACCACCTTTCACGCGACAGGTAGATGAAATACTATACCTTTTCAACACCAACCGGTAGCTACAAACATAAAGAGACTATAAAATATAGAATGAAACAATTCCGACATGTAGAACATCAAATCTAACCAGAAAAGAAAAAACTAACCAAAGAAGGAAGCAGCTGCCATGTAGCCCCACTGGTTTTAATAGCCAAAAAAAAAACTCATATCACATCCAGTAAATCTACTGAATACAAAACCCAAAACACATTGGATCTAGTGACCAAATATACATTCTCGTAACCTTGATGTGGGTTTCAATTTCAATGCCAAGTTCTTAAAAATCATAAATCCACCAACTATGAAAAGTATAAAAGAATTACAGCTTGAAGGCTCACTCTCCTAGCTGTTATTACTCATTAGCCACTGCACAATCATTCTCCAGATGCTGCCACAAATGCCAAAGTGTTAAGTTCACCCATTTTTCACCTTCCTTCTCATTGTCCACCTGCCTGCAAACAAGCTTGGTCGGCAGTCGGCACAACACTTCAATGGAGACAGAGGGCCGCCTGGAACCAAGGAATTGTCGTTTTTGTTGGACACCTAGGAGAAGGAATACGATGAAGGAGTTAATTGGAGGCGTGTAGTAGAGACTGAAGTTCGGATCGACGACGGCAGAGTTCGCCGGAGAAGTTTTTTTGTTCACACGACTCGAGGAAGACGACTGGCGCTTTTCCCTTTCCCTTCGTTTTTTGTTACGGGAGAAACGAAAAAGAAAACAAATTCATTTAAGATAAATCAAATTTTCAATTAATTTATGGAAAAAATAACAAGTGGCCAAACGGCTGTGCAGACGGAATCTCTTTTACTAACGACGGTCTGGGTAGCTTTTTGGGTCATCAGGTTTGGGCTCCGATTATGTAAAGTTAGCCCATAAAACATCAGTTCCACGTGGACCAATTAGTATTTGCGTCACCGGTGCCGCACTTTTTATAGCGGCATCATAGTATTGGTCTGGCGTGGTGGGCCCGGCTTTAGTTTGGGCGGGATTTTGGGTTGGAGTGGAAAGAGAACGAAATTTTTGGGCCCCATGTGATATATATGTATGTTTCTTTGTGTGGATATTTATTTGTTTTCAGTCGATATTATTACGTGTTGTGTTGATATTATTTGCATCATTGTTGAAATGAACTAGTATTCTTCCTTCACAAACCAATATCCATCATTAAATTAATATTTACCAAACCCCAAAATAACCCAACCACCCGAAACTGATTACACCAATTTAGAGTTTAAGTTTTAGGGTTTATGGTTCGGTTTTCAATTTGTGAAGGATTGAAATATTGTTTCTTACATCAAATTAAACACGCTAGGAAATTAAACACACTAGGAAGTCCTAACACGTAAGGCTTGCAACCTTAGTTAGGGCTGCCCGCCGAGGGCCCATGGGCCGAAGGCCCATTAAATAATAATAGTTTTATGTTTAGGGTTTGTGTTACGGTTTAATGTTAAGGGTTTAGGGTCTAGCTTAGGTTTGAATTGATATTAGTTCATGTTTTCGAAATTTTCTTGGACTTTTGGATATTCTAATAGGGCTTTTTTGGTAAAGTGATTAGGGTGTTAGTTTAATTATTAGTCTTGTGGTCGTTTGCAATGAATGGATATTAGTTTATGTGGTTCGGATATTAGCTTTTGGTTGAATTGATATTAGTTCGTGCTTTTGAATATTTGTCTGGGAAGTTTGGATATTCTAATGGGCACTTTTGGTAACTATTATCGATGTGAATGGTTGTTTGTTGCATTTAGTCGATGCAAGAAGAAGAAACTCCCAATCACTATATTTACTGATCATGACTCCTTCTTTGTTTTGGTCGCCGAAAAAACACGTGCAAGCACATTAAATTATTATCCAAACTGCCAGAGTAATATCCAACCATGAAGTCTCTGTTATCCAGACAACACAAAGTAATAGCTTATTATGAAGGAGTTGTTATCCAGACAGGACAAATTAATATCCATACATTATAGGGCTGTTATCCAGACTGCACAGAGCAATATCCAAACATAAAGCACCTACTATCCAGACAACACAGAGTAATATCCAAACATAAAGCACCTGTTATCCACGAATAAACTCGAATCTCATCATTCGATACAGAAAACACACTTTTGTTCGATGCAATCATGAAAAGAAATAATATCCAGAACCAACAATTTGTTCAATCCCAACAATTATGTGATTGGAGGATATTAGTTCGCGATGTGTGGATTTTTTGGCTGTGTAGCAGGATATTAGTCTGTGAGAGGTAGATATTAGTTAATGTTGGTGAGGATATTTATTATGGCAGGAACGAATATTAGTCTGGGTGGTGCGGATATTTGTCTGGGGGTGTGGATATTTTTTTTTGGTGTACGGATATTGGTCTGCTATGGTTTTCAAGTACACAACACTAGTGAGAACACTAGATACAATTAGTATTCAAAGTAAGAAAAACTAGTGGGAACACTCGATACAATTAGTATTCAAAGCCATTCCGACATGGCGATTATAACATTCCAAACAAAAAATATTACTTAAGAAAATTGTTAGTTCAAGTGTGGGCTTGCTGCTCCAAAATGTTAATCATCTTTTGGACTTTTTCCCGCCTCGATAATATCTTGACCTCACAGGGATTAAATGTGTTTAATTGATGAATAAATGTGGGTAATTGATTAAATGTGTTTAATTGATGACTAAAGGGAAAAACAAAATATTATCCAATATTTGACAAAATATTATCCATCTTGCTACAAATCAACATCCTTCCCTAAATATTATCTAACCGTAAGTTCAGTTTTACAAACCAATATCACACTACACAACTCTAAAATTAACTTTTCTTCCTTTTCCCTCATCGTCTTGGTCATCACTTTCTTCATCCTCAATTTCTTGGTCCTAAACTATTTGTTTGGGATGTTTGGATATTTGTTTTCTCATTAACTGATATTAGTTTGTTGATATTAGTTCATTAGCCAATTTAATTACTTTTGGTATTAGTTTGCGATTGTTAGATATTAGTCTATGTGTGGTGGGTATTAGTCTGCTATGGTCAGATATTAGTCTGTGTGTGGTGGGTATTATTCTGTATGGTGAGGATATTATTTACGATCTGAATGTATATTAGTCTTAGGCGATGAGATATTAGTCCGGGTGTTGTGGATATTTGTAATGGAGAACGGATATTAGTGCGACTGTCGGATATTAGTTTGAGTGGTTTGGATATTTGTTTTGTGGAGATGTGTTTTTGATGAGCAAATAATATTCCAGAATAAAAAACTCGAATTCTTAATAAAAAGAGTCGGTTTTTTATACCCAATAAAAAGAGTCATTTGATAGACAAATCGCGATAAAACTAGTATTTAATGTTATTATAACAATCCAAGAATTTCAAATCCGAAAAAGCACAACCATATAAGAAATGAGAAAGCAATAGTTCAACTATTGTCTTGCTGACGCTTGATAATTTTTTTGAGCGCGTCGTCCCGAGCCCTCCACATTTGGATCATGCTCTCAACCATTGACTCCATTGCCGCAAGCTACATATGTTGTAAAATATTTAGTTTACTATATGCAACCATGTCACTTAAGAAGCAAAGACAACATCTATGTACCTGATTTAGGTCAAGGTTGTCAAAATCTTTGTTTTCCCAGCATGATGCGTCTGGATTGAGCCAGTGATGTGTCTCCACCTCCCCTTCTCTTGGAGGAGCTGGCATCGAACACCTTTTGGATTTTTTCATCTTGCACAATTCCTGAAAATAGCTAATATCATTGAACTAATATCCATACAGGGCATAAAAATATCCAGACCTAGCATACAAATATCTATGAATCACATAACCAATATCCTGACAATCAACCACCATACAATATCCACATTAAACTAAATGGTATCCCATGCCAGCTAAACAATTTTCCAGGTAAAAAAATATCAAATTAACGAGCAAAATCCAGAAACCCCAAACAATATTGACATCCAACAAACCAGTATCCAGAAACCCCAAATCGAATCTCAGATCCCAACCACAGAAAATCCCAGATCTCCCAAATCGAAAGAAATCTAAATCCCCCAAATCAAAAGAATCCCAATATCAACACAAACTGAACTAATATCGACACAAAGACAACTAATATCGACTCAAACAGAACTAATATCGACACAAACATATAGCCATTCCACAAAACCCATAAATAAAATCAACAAAAGAACGAATCATGCAACCCTAACTCAAATCTATCCAAACGAAAAATAATATCCACGAAACTATGTTTGAAAACTTACATGATCAAGAACCCGAGTTCCCTGCAAAGCGCCGCCGCCGAGATCGTTGCTTCGTTGTCGCCGACAAGTTCGTTGCCGCCGAGATCGCCGCCGCCGAGATCGCCGCCGCTGATTTTGCAGCAAGGTCGCCGCCGCCGAGATCTCCAACTTCGCTGCAAGGTTGCCGCCACCGCCTAGATCGTCGCCGCCGCCAAGATCGACGACTTCGCTGCCGCCGAGTTCGACCCCGTCGAGTTCGCTACACCGCGCGGCGCTTCGTCTGCGTTCGGGAGAGGAAGAAAGGGAGAGGAAAGCGAGAGAGAAAGGGAGAGAGAGAGGGGGGGAAGTAATTTGGGGAAGAACGTGAATAGGGGTAGGGTTTAGGGTAATTTTTATTTTGGGTTTTTGAATTAGTGGGCCCGGCGGGCCCCGCAAGCCGGAGTGGGCTTGGCCCAGCTGATGGAATCGGCTCTCCTCCCTCACACTCTGGCGGGTTTTCTCCTCCACCGATGGATGGCGGCTTGGCGACGTGGCCATCTATCTTACCCTGTCAGTATCTCCTAACAAAATGGCCTGTTAGGAGCATAACTAGATTGTGGAGTAGGTGTGTAGAGATCGCAACAAGAAGCAATACAGAGAGGTGATGTGAAGGGATATGACTGAAGCGGTGACACCGCGATTGCGGATTTTGGCGATGAATGAGTCATGGAAGGACAGAAATACAGAAAGTATGGTCGCGGCCAGCGGTCGCGTGTGTTGGAAGCAGTGGGAAGTTGAAGAAGCAAATCGTAGTGGTGAGATAATGAGTAATGTCTTGAAAAGATTTTTAACCAACCCCTTTTCCTCGCCGTTGTCAGACAAGCACGAATCATCAGTAGGTAAGGTACTACAAAGTAGAATATGACTTGCGCTGAGAATGATTTCATAACATGCAGCAAGTCTGTAACACGATCCCCACTCTCCACTTCAGTAATCAAACCTTCAGTTCCAGCCAGGACGGCAAGTGAGAGCTTGCTGTGCAAGTTTTCTCCACTAATCATGTTTTTATAATGTACATGTATTAAAGACAAGATGAAAACGCTCCAGGACCTCATTGGCATTGCAGGTGATGTTCTACCATACATCGATTTGAGTTCTGATTTCTCGTTTGGAGCTTTTATTTTTTATCCCTCTGGTTTGATTGGTATCCTGTTTCGACAGTTTACATGTCCTATTGCATCTAATTTCAGTTTAGCCTGATTCCTAGTCTGATACCTGCTACAAATATGTGCCTTGTTCAATTTGTTCATCCTTTCTCTAAGTGATCTTATTTCAAGATTGCTTGATTCAAGTTTCCTAGTCTTTCTCGTTTTTGTTGGACTTGTATTTGCAATCTCCAATTTGAAGGCCTCCTCCGGCCATGCCTCCCATCACCGGCGCTCTACTGCCGCCGGTATTTGGTGGCTTTGTTCTCTTTTCATGTCAAGCTGGCTGGCGTGTGACCTGGAGATCTTTTTTTCCTTTAAGGGTGGGTGAGTTCCCTTTGGCTGACGTAGTGGTAGATATTCTAAAAAAACATTTAATAGTCCATATCATCCAAATAATTCTAGTTTCAATGAAGATGATTAAACTCAAATCCAATACAAATCTGAAGGGTATCTCGAGAAATGATTCCAGCAATAAACAACCAATCAAACTACATAGTTAACTTTGTCAACTGGTAAGTCCCAAGTTTATAAGGACTCAAGCAATGATCCAATATATGTCTGCAATCATCCAAACATGTAGTTCTACACCCCTTCCGTAAGTCAGCAAATACTCCAGCAAACCAACCTAGACAAAGGAATCAAAGGCAGCAAACACTTGATCAAAACCAACTCTAATGGTAATTGGTGGATGAAAAAGGAAAACACAACTAGATAGCTAGTTGAATAGAATTACCATTAGCTTGACTAAGACAAAGTGAAAATTAATGTTATTATTAATATTGTCCGTTAATCGTTAATATTATCTAAACATGTAAAAAAACAATGATATGGTTAGCAAACACAGCAAAGAAAACAAGCACAATGCACATGCAATTGTTATAGTTGCATTGAACTCAATTGTTTCTCATGAAACAATGACATCATCACCTCTATAAACTTTAATAGTTAAAAAGTCATCCCGGAGAAGAAAGAGCAAGAAACTCACATGGGTAGCATCCGCATCCCCTCACCCAGGTAGAAATGTCAATGCCAATCTTCTTCAACCCTAAAAATTGATTATTCAACAATTTACATTAATTTAGAACATACGGGAAATAGATAGTCTTTATCATAATAATTTTCATCTTACTAACTTTTGAGACTCGAAGATGAAGACACCTTTCTCAGATAGTATCTTATGTAGCCTATCAAAGAACTCGAGCCAAATCGGTTACAATTTCTTATAGACAGCAGCATCATCTTTTGGATAAACCTAGATATATACAGGGGGAAATTTTGTAAAAAGTTAGCTGATTACAATAGTAGTAGTAGTCACAATAATAATCATTTATTCATCAAGAATACAAAAATATTCACAATATATTTTAACATGATGATTCATCAAATTATTAATCAAAGAATATCAAGGAAAGTGTTTCAGATTCGAGAGTTTTTGGGCAAAACAGGAGGAAAGCATAGAAGTGGTGAAAGAAGCTTGGGACAAAGCAAGATATGGGAGCATTGGGGAGGGCTTCAAGCAATGTGAAATCGACCTCACAAGCTGGAGCAAAACAAGGTTTGGAGAGATTCCAAGAAGAATCACCAAGATCATAAGAGAAATGATGATTCATCCTAGTGGCTCATTTCAGAGTCAATAGGGTTAGAAGCTCTCATCTCCAGTGGCACTCATTGAGGCCGGCTCGGCAGGTTAGTTTCCTGATAGCAAGCTTCGTCACGAGTACTGATCTTCGAGAAGAAAGGGTAAAGCTTGAGTTCGCAGCATCCACATCTTATGCCTAGCTCCCTTATAAAATGATAAGTTGTGTTTTGATCTTGACCTAATCAAAAAGAATTATGCTATAATGTGTTCGCTACCTTTAATGTTGGTATTTGAAAATCTATCACGCGTAAGTCGCGGCATAGCGCGGGCCATTTATCTAGTTTAAGAATAAGATGCTAGAAGAATGGGAGGTTTTCATGAAGGCAGATGATTTCATAAATGATTTCAAAGAGGTGCAAGGGAAAGAGAATGGCCTGATCAGCAGAAGGAGGGAGAGTATAAGGAAAAAGCCTCTACAAGGAATACTAAAGATCAATATAGTTGCTGGTATAAACAGTCAGCGGAATCAGGGACTGGACAGGGGAGGTTGTCATGGGATGTAATATGGCTAACGAAAATTGTAGAGGGACGCCCAGCGCTTTATGGCATTCAGAAAGCAATGGAAGTGGGAACAGGACCATGGAATGTTGAATAAGACTGCAAGAGACTGATTGATATAATTAAGAAAGGGGATGAGTGTAGGACCGCGCTTGGAAGCATATGAAAGAATATTAAAGAGTGGGGACAAGTAGCAGGAGTAGTGGAATGGACATACTCTCAAAGGGAAACAAATCATGTAGCTAACCAACTAGCACACTTGTTTGTTGTAATTGATAGAGAAGTTATATGGAAAAGTATATGCCCACTTGTATCTCGGAAGTTGTAGCCCTAGATGCTATTGGTGATAAATCTTTTCAATGAAAGCACCAGGTTACCCCTAAAAAAATTAAAAATAACAAAAACAAGTAATTATCCAAAATTTTGTTACTCACCACTTTTTTGCCCTTGTATTTCTTGCTCACCACTTTTTTGCCCTTGTATTCCTTGTAATGGAAGGTGAGGTTTCTACAAAAATGTAGAAATGTTGAAGCTTTCTCATCCCTAGGAATTCTCCCTTTCCCCTCGTTTTCCAAGACCTTCAAGAAGTTGGAATCCTTTTGCACCTCATTTATCCATGCCTTACGGGGAAAAGCACCATTAAGATGTTTCTTGACAAGCGGAAGATTTTCAACCATGTCATCAGCCCTCCAAAAATACTCAAATTTTTGTTTCGCTGTTAGAAGCCCCAGGGAATTGTACAAGTTCCGAATACTTCTATTCCTGCACATTTAAGATTAGAAATGATTCACAACTTGGAGTTGATTTCCCCAAATAATACAAACAAATAAATAAACCAAATGAGACTAACCATAATGAATTCATAATTGTGTCAAACCATGAAGGAATAGGAACAGGATCAGCAGGAACAGTAATTCGGGAAAGAAGTTCATATAAATCGTTGCAATCATCTTGCTCCCCTCCAAAGCAACTCAATCTAACAAGAAATTCACCATTTCTAGGTTCCGAAATCACGATGTTGCACTCCTTGGTCAAATGGCCGATTAAGTTGCCGTGTACTACTCTCAACTCGTAGTGGAGTTTGTGCAGCAGATAGAGTATCCTCCTTCAAATTAGAAGCAACAGAAAAGATTAGTTATTCAAAAAAAATATGTGAATTGCTATAATTGGAAGAAAACACATACCTTATTACAAGTTTCAAGTTAATCTCCATTTCTCCATCTGTCCTGATGACCGGTTGAACTAATGATTTAGCGAACTTCTCCAAATCATAGTCGAATTGCTCATAAATAAACAATTGTCTATTGTCTTGCTCCAATGTCCTCACTCCGGGCAACACCCCTTTTCCAGCTTCATTTCGTGCTTTTCCAAAATACCTTTCTTCAATGTTAAGAACCTCCACAAGATCTACTGGAACACTTCGAACGCTAACCGGATAATCAATTGCCAAATCATCATAAATTAACTTGGCTTTGTAAACCTCGACACCATTATCAAATTTCTTGATGTCGCCAGTTGGTTCAATACGAGCCATGCTGTAGCATAATAAATTAATCTTAAGCTCAACACTGAAAAGAATTATACTTTGGAAACTTATCCCAATAATTGTACAAGAATGGGTTGTGATAACTGATCAGCTCCAATTGTGCACAATGAACTATAAAGCTTAACTTAGTACCTGCTTTGCTTAAAGAAATTACTTGTAATATTCAGACCCAATGTACACATGTAAGCATCTCGCACATTGCAGGTCTATTTTAAGACTTTCTCCACCTAAATCAATGTTGAACTAGGGAAACTGACTGTGATTCATCCATGATGCTCCGGGCACCATAGATACTAACTTTGGGCGTGGATACTTTATGCGACCCCACGTTATATGCACAAAACCAAAGGCTTAACTATGATCTACAAATAAGTTAATATCTATTGCTAATTTCAGGATATGCGTTGGTGCTTAATTTCAATTCAACGACCCTCCAAGTTTAAGTCTATGAAATTTGAAATGCATGACTGATAATTTTAATGACATGACAGTTAGTTACTCAGTTTCCAACCATAATAGAGCAGTAAAGGCAACCCCCATCGTTGAAGAAGAGACAACTAAAGAGATTGAGTGAGAATCCAATAAGCAATTCACATAGAAGCAGCCATGATGAGGCAGAAAAATAATCCTATACCATCCATGAAATTTATAACTAATATTGTTTCGCCAAACAGTACATACGCTTCCATTTCAAACTCTTCTAACTAAGTGTTACCAATATTAAAAATATATTCTTCTGAGCAGCCACTTGTGTGAATTTTGACCAAATTAGCAAAAAATCAATTCTTTACAGCTACTTACAGAATAGAAAATGAATGTTTAACAACACAAAATATGTAGAACCCTCCGCTGATACCTCAAAACCAGCTAGCTTAGTTGATCTTCATATCAAATGAGACATCTTATTCCATGTTGGAGGAAGACTAAAGAGAATTTGCAAACAGAACGCCATCTATGAAAGTAGAGATTCCAATTGATCTATTCTGAACACACCATCTTGAAAATGGGCAATCCAATAACCACAAGTTGACATACCACATTGATTAGATTCCAAGTGTGCATGGGAAAAGATGCATTTTTTTCGTTTTCTGTTTCAAAGTGGTGTATAAGTATGAATTTGTACAGTGCATTGTAAAAAATGTAGAGACCATATATCAAGGAAGACTTCAGTTTAGGCTAGCTGTTAGTTAGAACTTTTGAAGGACAAAAACTTAAGACACAATCACCACCTCAAGGAAAAAAAAATTTGCTCTGTTGCATCCACCAACTCTCTCAAATCAAATGAAAAACAGAAAAGCCATTCACAAAAAAAAAAAAAATAATAATGAAGCCACAAAGAGAAACTATCCTGCAACCAAATAATTAGGAATTTGGCTAACTATGATTTCTTTCATGACAATGTTTTACTAAACAGGGAGTTGATTCCTAGTTGTTGTTCCAATAGCAGCAGCACATAAGAAGTTTAGCATAGCAAGCAAGCACGCAACAACAACACAACAGTGCAGTAGGTTACCCATCAATCCAAGTAGCATAAGATTCAGTGTGTCCATATTTATCTTTTTTAAAACACAATCAACCCTTCAAAGCAGCCAGTATCATCCCAACCAAAGTCAAGTCATGGTGTTCTGTTCAATAAGTACTAAATTCACGAACCAAATGAGATACATGTTGGCATAAACATTGTGATCTGGCAAGCAGGATCCTAAATTGGTCAGTCTGGCAGTTAAGGGGTTCCAATTAAAAATTGATCAGGATCCACATTTAAACCTCATTCTCATTGCAACCGAGTGCTCCAGTTTAGGTACACAGCAAGCAGCCAGCCACCACGACACAGTGCATTTGGGCGACTTAGCAATCTGATATCACTATTTCTCACGACCCAACCAAGAAACAGAGAAAGGCAAGGGAAACATTCATGTCTATTCAATTAGTACCTATATGATTTAAGGAGATACAATCTCAATTGACGCATCTACCCCACTCACCTAGGATACTTGCGTCATAACGACCATTAGCTTGTGCATTTGCGTGTTAAGATGAAGACGTAGATTGATGAGGGATTACCTGAGTATTTTTAATGCAGTGGGTTTGTTCCTCTTCTCGCGCTGAGTAGAAGAAACCCTATGGACACAATATCACACACACACACACTATCAAACCTAAGGAAAACCCTAGAATCTCTTCGTCGCCATTATTAAACACACGGATGCCTATCCTTTATCCGGACGGCGGCAATCCTCAAGTAAATGAAATTAGCACAAAACTTACCTGCCAACTATAGAATTGCCGACACCAAACAACAAATCTGACGTGCCAGCAGCGGTTTGGAGGCAATAGAAACGGATGCGAAGCAGAATGCGAGAACCTCCACTGAAACAGCAGCGAAGCGGAAAGGAAGAAACCTAAACAAAGATTTTCCGGCGTCAACAAGCGTGACTCCCTCCCTCCATCCTAATCCACATCCACCGGAGGGCCCTGGCTTCGTAAAGGAAAGGGAGGAGACTGGTCTCGTGGTATTTAGGTCACCCAATTCGTGCTTCTAGGTCCGCCGCTCAAGCTTTGGAGCGCAGAAACACGATTTACTAGTGATTCGCCAAGAATTCGCAGAAAATGAAGATGGCGAATTGTAAAAGGAGATACACTTCGCCGAAGATGATTCCTTGAGGTGCAGAGGAAGTCTAATCCGGAACTGCATAGCTCATCGGGGCATTGCAAACGGTGGTTGAAACCACCATACGACGTCTATAAACCTTTGGAGAAGACGTAATCGAACTGGGAGTGGTGAGGGATTCCGATAGAAATTTTGTTCTAGGTTTTGAGCAAAAAGAAGAGGGACGTTAAAGTCGGTGTTTTGTGGATGGGAATTATTGAAGCTGACAAGAGAGAGCTCTCGCCTTTGGCACTAGGATGGCAAAAAACCCGAACCACCCACTCGACCCAACCCGGTTAATGCGGGTAAAATTAGTGTTGATGGGTTTTGGGTCGGGTTTGGGTTTAAACCCATTCACTATTCACCAAGTTGGATTGAATTTGGATTTAGATAAACCCGGCCCATGAGTACTTGCCCACACCCATATAATTAATTTTCTCGGTATATTTAATATTCTAAACAACTAATCTTATTTATGTTTGTGGAGACATGTCTAATTTTTTTCTTTCTAATTGTGTAGAATGAAGTTGATGTTATCGAGTGGAGAGTGAAGATGTATAACTGACCCGTCCCGTCCCTGTCTCCTTCTTGAACCAGTCTGACCCTCAAGGGTTGGACGGGTCGGGACGAGCTGGGTCAATGGGTCGACCCTAATCAACACACTGCTTTTTTACAAATTATGTTTTGGTACCCAAAATTTTTTTTCTTATAATTTAGTACCTAAAATTTATTTTTTTACAAATAAGTCCATAAATTTTGATGGTAAATTACGTTTTTGTACCCAAAATTTTTTATTTTTACAAGTTCGGATCCTCTTGCTACACTCGCCGACACGCAATCCTTAATGGAGAGGGGTAAATTTCCTTTACGGAGTGGGGCTGAGAGGGAGCGATTGAATTTAGTCAATTTGATTGATTCCACTAATTTTGTTAGAAATATCTGTAGCCCTTGTAGAATGGTTTGGAATCCTGACCCAAATGGCAAGTTTTCTGTGAGTTCTATGTATAGGAACTTGGTGAGGGAGAAGTTTCCTGGTTTGCCAGACTTCCCAAATAAACAGGTATGGAAGACGGTGGTGCCGAGCAAAATATGCTTCTTCGTGTGGCTGGTGTACCATAACAAGATTCTCACTCTAGATAATCTTAGGAAGAGGGGTTGGAGTATTGCCAATAGATGCTCTTTGTGTCAACGCAATGAAGAAGTTGTGGCCCATTTGCTTGTGAATTGTGATTATGTCAAGGATGTTTGGAGAAACATTTTTGGTAACAGGTAGGTGGTGTGGAACCAGACAAGGGAGATCACTTGTATAATCAAAGAGTGGCAATCGGGGAACCAGGACAACATTGATTCATGGTTCAGAGAATGTATTCTCCATGCGGTTTGGTGGGGCATTTGGCTTGAGAGGAATCAATGCACGTTCGAAGACAGACTCCTACCTGCTACTGTGGTTGCTCGGAGGGTGGCAAAGAACGCGATGGAGTGGATTACTGCTCAAGGAAAGGTTCAAGTTGATCAAGGAGTAAGGTGGCTCAGAGAATCCGTGCCTGGATTGTGAGAGTGGTGGTGGTCCTTCGAGGGACGTTTGGGCCTTGAGTGCGGTTGAAGACTGGTTGGTTGCTACTGTTTCTGGATTTTTGAGTTTTCTTTGGTATGCGTACAGTCCCGGGTTGAAGTCTTTTAGGCTACTGCTTGTTTGGCGCTGTCTCTGTTTTGTCTGTGTCATTGTGTGATGTTTCTATTTGTTGTGGGTTTTGAGTAGGGGCTTCTCGGGTTTTGTATATGCTTTCTTTCCTTTTCCTTTTTCTTTTCTTTTCCTTGTGTTTTGTTTCGGGTTGCAGTGTGCACTCCTTGTGCAACTGCTTTCTCGGTCGTGGGTTCGAAACACTTGTGTTGTTCTTTGTTTGTTTTCTTTAATAAATCTTCACCATTATAAAAAAAAAGTGACCCATCCCTAAATTGTCCTGACCCGTCCCGACCCTTACATGGTCAACAAATGACCCGTCCCTAATCTAACCATGTAGACAAACTAATCCATCCCGGCCCGTCCCAGGGACGGGTCAGGTCAGTGGGTCTTCTGGGTCAAGCTTTCACCCCTAGTTTCGAGTTAACACAAATAGAATGCCTAATATATAGTGGTCACACTCATTTGTATATATATATTAGTTTATGTTATGAAACTAATGGAAAATATAAAAAACTACAAGAGAAGATTAGATAAGAAAATACACAAGAGAAGAGAGGGGAAGAGTTCTTCTTATTCATTCTTCTCTTTTGATACAAGAGTGTGCTCTATTTATAGGCACACTTTGGTAACCACTACATCCTTATATCAATGTATATGAATGAGAGATAATGTTGTATGAATAGGGGTTACATGTAACTCCCAAGTGCGCATCTAATGTGGTAGGTCATTGGTCATCCATATATCAATAATTACATAATACTCCCCCTTGGATGACCACTAGATTGCATTACGTTATCTCATACTGCCTCATTAAGAACCTTAACCATGAAAACCTTGTGGGAAAAAACCATGGTTAAGGGAAAAAGAGTGCAGTTCGTATATGCTCCGCCTCATGACCACATCACTTCAGATCTTTGAGTCGTTGAACTCAAATTTTACAAACAACTTTTAGAAAGATTTTTGTCGCGAGTGAGTTAGTGAACAATCTTCTAGATTTTCAATTTGATGCATGATCTTTATATTTTCTTCATACATGATCGCCAGGATCATTTCCTTTGGAAATAGTTCACAAGCACAAGTCCTTTAGCTATTGGTGGATCACAAAATGTAACGAAGTACATTCAGGACTTGCCTATTATAGTTTGTTTTGTTTCTCTATGAAACAGTTATATCACCATATGTACAAGATAGCTCATCTCCGATCAACCAATATGAGGATCAAATGGTATATAGGATTTGGATATATAGTTCACCAAATATCTCTTTGATAATACCATAATAGAACAATCACATATATTGTTACTTAAGGTAACAAAGTATTTTCGACGTTCCATTGAGGGAAACATTGTATTTTGCTAATATTATCAACACCAAAATGATATTTTGGTGCTCTAATGCATCAACATATGGTACTTAAAGACCTTGTACATCAACATATACTACTTTAGGACTTAATGTTTCACTTCTTTCTTGACGCCTAAATGGATCTTTGGTCACTTCTAGTGATCTTAGGATCCTAATTGTTACACCCCACTCTTCCCAAAAGTCGAAATGACTACTATACCCTTGGGTCAAGTTCCACCGTATTATCGATGAGGACTAAAATGACAACTCTTGATTCAAACGGTGTCAAGTTTCAACATAAATCGAGTAAGTTACGGACTTTAGTTGAGTTTCGGATTAAACTCACCCGTAATTTATGAAATGCCCAAAACACCCCTTAAACTAATTAAAACCTAAGTTAACCCGAAACCCCATACCTAACTTGGCCTCACCACTACCAATTAAACCCTACTTCTCAATCGGCCGAGCTTGGAACTGAAAAGCCGACATTCCTTCTCTTCTAATTGAACTTACATCGAGTCTTTTCGTGTACCAACGCCCTCTTGCAATGCCCCGCTGCAGTTGCGGACACGGATCCCTAGGTCGCGACGATACCACTGGGAGTTTGGTCTGCGAGTCATGCGGCACCGTGCAAGAATTCCGCAACTTCGAGGACCGAGCCGTCAGCCCTAGCGGTGTCCAGCAAGGCTCTTACGTCCGCGTTGGCACTTCAGGTACAGGTGGCTCTTTGGCATACAAAGAGAAGAAGGTATACGAGGCTAATAAGCTCATCGACGAAATTGCGCTTAGGTTGAACTTGAGTGGTAGATCTCTGAATGAAATTAGGTCCATGGTTGATCGAATTACGGAAGGTGAATATGGTTCGGGCGATTGGTTCCATGTACCGATTGGTGCTTGTTCGTATGTCGAAATGAGGATTCAGAACAAAGCTTATTCGATTGGGGAGGTGAGCGAAGTTGTTGGGTGTGATATTTATGAACTGGGGAGGATGATCGCTCGGGTGGTTGAGCATTTGGAACTCAGGCTTCCCGAGTTCGATATAGTGAATGCTTTCGAGAGGGTTGTGACAAATTTGGCAACTTTGGGGATGGGAAAAGCATTTGACTAGGAATATTTAGGCATCCGTGTGTTGAGAGAAACCATTATTACAATGGCATGTTTTGATGTTGGAGGAGATGCGCAGTGGAATTAATTTGTGGCTAATAAGGAGGTCTCTTTTATTGACGTTTATGCATGGAAGAGCAAGAATGGATGACAATTACGAAAATCATTGTTGTTGGGTCTAGGTTACTTATTTCGAGGAGGAAGTGAACCTGGTTTAGTAAGTCGTTCTTGACGTGAGATTAATAGGTGGCCATAGGAACCCTCCTTGGGGTACGGTGCACGATCAAGCAAAGGGAGATGGAGTTGTCAGTACATAACGGATAATGACACCAAGATCCAACAACTTTACTTCGAGGTTTGGAGATGCATATAAGGTGAGTGTAAAGGGAGTAAATTCTACGCCTTACGGTATTTCAGTTTTTGAGATTGACTGCTATGTGCTATACTTGCCTTTGTGTGTTTATATGATTCATGTTTGAGATTGCATGATTATTGTTGATGATATGTGATTTTGTTTGAGCTATGTTTGATATGAATGTGCATGAGTTCTTAGTTAATTTAAAGCTTTCCGTTTATAAGTTATTGTTAAAGTTAAGAAACAAGTTCTTTTTAAATAAGTAACTCACCTTCAAGAAGGTGAAGTCATTTTAAGTGTTTTTAGTCACTAGCGCCTGTCCGTTGCCTTTTGATACATTTTGAGATAGAGCAGCAGTTATGCTCTTGAGACTTTTAAGATGGGCAACAGTTATGCTCTTGAGAATCGTGGTGAAGAGTTACCACGATAAGTTTAAGATGTTAGGGGGATGAATCGTTACGACTCCCCTAACTAAGGTTAAGTTTAAGGAAAGCCCGGATGGCTGCTCATACGTATGAGTTGGCAACCGGAGCTAGTGAGGGATCCCAGTGTCAGTCAAATATTTAAGTTAAGATTTGAGCTTTAGGAATACAGTTTTAATAGTTAAGATTTTTAATAGTGGAAGTACCAAACAACTTCCACTCAGTTAAGTAAAGTGATCAAGTATTAATAAGATGCTAAACGTAAGGGCCTAGACTGACCCCATCTCACTCACCAGTTTGAGGAGCTAGAGGAGCAACTAGTGAGCAGCGAGTTCGAGGGCAGCCATCTAGAGGAGAGCAGTATAAGCGTCACGGAGGATGCTTAGTCAAGGCTTTCAGTAGCAACAACTTTAGAGATTATTAGTTATTTGCATTTATGATTATGAGTACAGACCGGAGATCATTTTGAGATTTTTAGTATTGAGTTTGCCCACTTGTTAGGGCTTTGCTTTGAACTACAAGAGTGTGTTTTCAGAATTTTATTAATAAAAATTTTCCCGCTGAAATTTAAGATTTGAGTATTTTATTTGTCAAGAGCATTTTAGTAAAAGTAGTACCCGGCCGGGTTAGGGTGTTACATTTTGGTATCAGAGCCTGGCTTCCTCTGTTCCTTGGTCTCCAAGGAATACTAGAATATCGGTCTCAGTTGTAAAGGCTTTTGTTTTAAAGGAAAGGAAAACTAGTCAAGGATCTTCTTTTAAGAGTTTATAGAATCTCCAGTCTACTCTAATCATATTGAGGTGAATAACTATGACAGCACGACACGAAGGGATGGTAGCCCAGGGTGCGATTGTTTAAGAATAGGCTAGGACGTGATTTAGTTAACATGTCGTGGTTTGTCAAATGAGAGATTTAGGCATATGGTGATCGCCAATAAGAAAGAAAGGATGAAAGAAACGTGACAACCTAAATAGAATCTCAAGGGCTCTCAAGACCAAGTATCTCATCGACATGATGGATAGTAGCTTCTCAATTAGTTAACCAACTACTCGGACGTTAGCAAACAGATCATCATCATCAACCTAGAGAAGGAAGGAGGAACGTTGCAAAGGTCTGTGGAAGTAGAATCAAATGTGCGAGGACTTCAACTCCAAACACCAGCAAAGAGGTGCCAATTGAAAGGGAATACCTCAAGGATTTTGAAGGAGTTGAGAGAGTAGTACGAGGATTTACTACTAGGAAACACGTGGATGATCTAATAAGCTAAGACAAACAAAGGGCAGAAATATGAATCTCCAAAGGAAGAGGAACAATCACCAGATGCCAGTAGCTATGATACTAGGATGATGTTAGGGTCTTTGGTCCTAAGCAGTGGAAAGTGGGCAACGGGTCAAGAAACGAAGAGGTACCCCGAGAAGTCCCTCAGCTAGTTTTTGTGGTCGATGGCTCAACGCCATTACCACACAGTGACAAGGAGTAGAGGAATGTTTAGACTTTAAGAAATGCTAGGGTAGTATAAAGGAAGCGAAGGAGGAAATAAGTAGGTTATAAGGAGTATGTAAGGACGTCATGAAGTTAATAGGTCAAGGCGAAGATGAGGCATGGTCATTTACATATGATCACAAAGGAACCCTTATACATAAACTACGTCACTACAGAAGAGGGTACATGACCCTGGGGAGTTAGGCCGATGACAAGCCTTTAAAGAAACAAGACAAACAACGAGGTAAATGATGTAGAGGACAAGTTATGGTTTTAGACGACCACCATTGGACGAGACGTGGAGGAAAGTGCCACCAAAGTCTAAAGCATGCCATGTAGAAGACAGCGGGGAGTCAATAAGTAAGAAAAGATATGGAATGTGAGAGGGAATAATAGTTAGCTAGTAAATGGCAGTACGAATAGAGAACCAATCTTCAGCAATGCCTGAGTTGAATACTAAGTCAACACGGAGCTAGAAAGAGGATATTAGAGACCCTACAAACTACCCAAATCATGAAAGGTCAGGAGGTCGTTGGGTTAGTTGAAAGGGGAATGCAGAGTTCGTGATGACCTGTTTTGGGATTGTCCTATCCTGAATGTAGGGAGCACCTAGCCGCCTAGGGTACATGAGGGGTGCCGGAAGGAGGAACCTCTATTCCTAAGTTGGAACTAGCAGCCTAAGAGCTAGAGTCTCGGAACTAGCTATAGGAGTAAGTCATTCAACCAACCGAGTATAGACAAGCAAGTAGAACATTCATCGGAAGTTTTAATAAATTTTAGAGAATTCGAGGAGGATTCCCGACAGTCGTGATAAAGAAAAGTTGCGTACAATACAAGGAAAATGCAAGAAGGACAGAGGAAGTTTGACTAGATTTCAAGAAGTCAATTGGTGTAGAAGTCAATTAGTCAATTGGTAAGCAATCTTAAAGTAGTACTGACTTCGGTAAGTCGTCTCTAAGGCCATAACTATGAAGTGGAATTAGTCAGGTCGTAGAGAGTTTGAAGTCAAGGAAGGACATGAAAGTTCCTGATAAAGGATTGGGAATATGTGTAAGTGACCTGCGTTCAAATAGAGTGCATGGAGGAAAATAGTTAGGAAGGGTCGAAGCAGAAATGCAGAAGACAGCAATGAAGTATTAGGTTGAGTACGAGTGGATAACAATTGATCCATAGGAAGTCCATCGAGAAATTTCGGCCAATTGTAAGGTGGAATCGGGGTCGTCAAGAATAATCAAAGGGAGAACCTTATAGGTCAAGGTACATAAGTGCGAAGAGAATATGAGAACCTAGATGACTACATCGAGAACAAGGGACATCTAGAACTAGCGAGTAACATCAAGGAGAAGAGTCACGAGTAGAGAAGTAATAGGGATATGAGTTTAGGGAACTTATAGAGTACCCCAAAGTGAAGTCAAGATCGCCTATGCGGGTGAAGATGTCGATCTCTTGGATAAAAATTTATTTGACGGGGAAACCGTACAATGAATTTCAGCTAGGGTCAGAGAGTAGCAGAATGGATAGTACACGAACATAAAATTCAAGCAGCGATAAGTAAGTGCTTAGTTAGGCGCCAGGAGTGAACAAGTAAGCCAGAGAGAATGCCATGATTCTTGAAAGGAATCATAAAGGTGATCGCAAGCTAGAGAAAGATGCAAAGGATGCCTCTAATGCATACAGAAAGTAAAAGCTGTAATATGAGGTTTCAGAGTTAAGCAAGAAGTAACGAGGAGATGACCACTCAGTTTATGGTTTAAAGGATAAGACGAAGCATCAAAGAAGAAAGTGAGATATACAAAGTTAGGAGGTACAACGTCCTAGGTCACCTATGGGGTCAACCCCAGACGAGAGTTACGTTAAAAGAGTTTCACCACCTTACTAGATGGAGGATAAAGCTGCCATCAATGACCTTGGGGTTGGAGAGGGGCATTAACTTCTCATGTACCGAACAATGGATAGTTATCGTTCCTATATATGTACAAGGTACGGCCGAGATAATGTGAGGGGTTAAGAAGCCACAACAACATTGAAGTTGCAGGGAATGGAGAGAAGGATTTTAGGTCATGTCATATAAGTTAAAGGAAACAAAAATCCGCGAAGTGAAAAGGATTACCACAAGCGATGCTTAGGGTAATCAAAGTGGACAAATTTCGAGGGCGAAATTTCGATAAGGGTGAAGGAAATGTTACACCCCGCTCTTCCCAAAAGTCGAAATGACTACTATACCCTTGGGTCAAGTTCCACCGTATTATCGATGAGGACTAAAATGACAACTGTTGATTCAAACGATGTCGAGTTTCAACATAAATCGAGTAAGTTACGGACTTTAGTTGAGTTTCGGATTAAACTCACCCGTAATTTATGAAATGACCAAAACACCCCTTAAACTAATTAAAACCTAAGCTAACCCGAAAACCCATACCTAACTCGGCCTCACCACTACCAATTAAACCCTACTTCTCAATCGGCCGAGCTTGGAACTGAAAAGCCGACATTCTTTCTATTCTAATTGAACTTACATCGAGTCTTTTCATGTACCAACGCCCTCTTGCAAGGGACTAGATACTATAACAACACCCTTTGTGTTGTTATTGTAACAACACTAGCCTCCAACCAATAGGAAGCTAGGATTGTGATGACTTTTTATTAGTTGAGTTGACCTAGTGTAAAATCAAAGCAGGGGTATAATTGTCATTATGAAAAATATGTTTAAATAATAATAAAAAAATAAAAAAAAAATAAATAAATATTTTTTTATTTTCTGTCCAAAATTTTTGTCGCCGGAATTCTGCCACCGGTCGCCGGTCACCGGAATATGCTTTTTGTCGCTGCAATATGCTATTTTGTCATCGGAATATGTC